ATGGATAAAGATCAAAACACCGGTGACCCGTTGCAAAGTGCTGACCTCTCTGTTGATAATGGCCAGGGGCTAGCCTGGGCAAAGGGCTGGGCTGGACAGGACAGGGCAGGGCAGGCCTGAGCTGGGCAGTGAGATACAGCTCCCATTAAACCTTCTGTGCAAGAGCAGCAGCATCCTGATGCTGTTGCCATGGCATTTCCTCCATTCAGAAAAGGCTGCCTCGTGCCTGGTGTAGGACCCAGGCCAGAAGGCCCTGAAGCCTTGCCCCTGACGGCAGTGACAGCACTTGTGGTTTTTCTGTCCACCCACCCTCCCATTTGGTCTGAAACCTAAGGCAGTCCTGTTTGGAGGAGCCTCACAACCCAGTAGCTTGGCTCTTTGGCTTCTGCTTTCTACACTTTGAAGTTAAATATCGTGACTTCAGAGGCAGAGAACACCAGAAGGCAAAAGAGGGCTTGTTTTAGCATTTTGCATTCAGCAACATCCTCTTGGTAAGAATGAAGAAAACAGCCAACTTATCTACCTCCCCAACAATCAAGGGTGCGGGTAGGAGCCCAGAGGGGCCGGCCCAGAGGAACAGCATTCAGGGGTACTCCATGCCAGCTGTGGGGGAGGAGAAGGAGAAGGGCTTTGGATGGGTAGGAAGCTCATTGGATATGTGCCCCAGTAATATGAAATGAACCTTCTGGATTTCTATACGCTGTGAGGCGGACTGGCATCTACAAACCAGGTGGGAAGAAAAATCAATCCCAAAATTCTACACAGAACCATTATTCCCTATTGCTTCAGAATCCTAACATGCTTTGTGAATATTAATTGCAGATGCTCCCTCTTCCACTGGAGGGACAGGAGAGTGGATTCTTTTTTTTTTTTTTTTTTTTTTTGAGACAGAGTCTCACTCTTTTGCCCGGGCTAGAGTGAGTGCCGTGGCGTCAGCCTAGCTCACAGCAACCTCAAACTCCTGGGCTCAAGCGATCCTGCTGCCTCAGCCTCCCAAGTAGCTGGGACTACAGTCATGCGCCACCATGGCTGGCTAATTTCTCTATATATTTTTAGTTGTCCAATTAATTGCTTTCTATTTTTTTAGTAGAGATGAGGTCTCGCTCTTACCGAGGCTGGTTTTGAACTCCTGAGCTCAAACAATCTGCCCGCCTCGGCCTCCCAGAGAGCTAGGATTACAGGCGTGAGCCACCGCGCCCGGCCAGGAGAGTGGATTCTAAGTCCTCATCCCTACTTTATACCTTGTCCTATGACAGCTGCCCCCACCGCTTCCTCACCCCTCTTAAAAGGAAGATAACAGGGCCAGAAGGAGGTACAGAAAATACCATCTGACCAGACTACTCTGAGAAAGCTCTTTCTGTAACTTTAAGGCAAAGTATATCCACAAGGTCCCAATGCCATTTACTTGAGATTGACAAAGGCCTGAGATGTGCCAGGCACCATCCTTGGAGCTGAGGAGAGGGAGACTGTTAAGACCTTTTCATTGACAATGCAGCCATTACAATGGGAGAAGAAGATAGGCATCAGTCGTGTTACAGTCCAGCCTGAACTGTGACAGAGGACAGCCACAGCACTCTGGGCGCTTCGATGCTTATACCCCATTGCCAAAGAGCGGTGGAGGAAATTAATGGTGCCCCACTGTGCTGTGACAGACATCATACCTCTTTAAGCAGAGCATGCAGGACAATGGGACAAGCCAGAGAGGACCAGCCAGGGACTGTGCGAACTCCCAGAGGAAACTACTTGTCTCTGACTCTCACTCGCCAGCTAGAAGAGAGCACCAGGGGAGGGTGTGAACTGGAGAAAAGTGATTCCCAGCCTTGGTACATACTAGAATCACCCAGGTAGCTTTTTAAAAATATTAATGCCTGGGTCCCACCCTGTACCATTCAAATCAGAACCTCTGGGGCATGAGACTAAGGTATTGGTATGTTCTGGAAGCTCCCAGGTGGTTCTCATGTGCAGGGAGGGCTAAGAACCCCTAACATAGAGGAAGGAATGTTAACACAATCATTCATCTGTCATAAATGTATTGCACAGCTACCAAGTGCTGGACACTGGGGACACAGTGGAAGGCAAGATGGGCCTAGTTCCTGTCCTCGTGGAGCTCACAGCCCAGAAGGGCAGGGAGCCGAGTGACCCTGGTTCTTGTCCTGGCTCTGCCACTGACAATCCTGAGCTCTTGGACCTTTCTCTTTTCTTCTCCAGGCCCCAGGTTTCCTGTCCAATGAGGCTACAGGCCCGATCTGCGATCCCCATCCCGCTACTCCCCGCACCCAACAATCCGTTGGCTTATATATAATTTTTGTTTCTTTTTTGGTGATCTTTCTTTATTGTGGTAAAATATATGTAACATTAAAATTTACTGTTCTAACCATTTTTAAGTATACAGTTTGGTGTCATTAAGTAAATTCATACTGTTGTGCAACCATCACCACCCTCCATCTCCGGAACTCTTTCGTCTTCCCCAAACTAAAACTCTGTACCTATTAGTCACTAACTCCCCATTCCCCCTCCCCCCGGCCTCTGGCAACCACCATTCTACTTTCTGTCTCTATGAATTTGACTACTCTAGGAACCTCGTATAAATAGAATCATACAGTATTTGTCCTTTTGTGACTGGCTTATTTCATTTAGCATAAGGTCCTCAAGGTTCAGCCATGTTGTGGCATATGACAGCATTTCCTTCATTTTTAAGGCTGAGTAATATTCCATTGTATGGACAGACCACGTTTTGCTTATTCATTCATCAGTTGATGTACACTTGGGTTGTTTCTACCCCTTGGCTATTGTGAATAATGCTGCTATGAATATGGCTGTATAAATATCTCCTCAAGACCCTGCTTTCAGTTCTTTTGGTTATATACTCAGAAGTGGAATTGCTGAATCTTATGGTAATTCTATGTTTAATTTTTTTAGAAACCACTATACTGTTTTCCATAGCAGCTGCACCATTTACATTCCCATCAATGGTGCACAAGGGTTCCAATTTGTTCACATCCTCACCAATACTTGTTTTCTGGGTCTTTTTTGATAGTAGGCATCCTAATGACAGTAAGGTGATATCTCCTTGTGGTTTTGATTTGCACATCCCTAATGCTTAGTGATGTTGAACATCTTTTCACACACTTCTTGGCCATTTGTATATCTTCTTTGGAGAAATGTCTGCTCAAGTCCTTTCCCCATATATTAATCTGATGGTTTTGTTTTTTTGTTGTTGTTGAGGTATAGGAGTCCTTTACGTATTCTGGGTGTTAACCTCTTATCCTATGTATGACTTGCAAATATTTTCTTCCATTCTTCAAGTTGCCTTTTTAATCTGTTGATTATGTCCTTTGATGCACTGAAGTTTTAATTTTGTTGTAGTTAAAAATTTTTCTTTTGTTGCCTGTATTTTTGGTGTTACAACCATGATATCGTTGCCAAATCCAATGTCATGAAGCTTTCCCCCTATGGAATGAGGAAGCTCCTGGGGTTCCTGGGCTTTCCCCCAAAACTTTCTAAGAGTTTTATAGTTTTATCTCTTACATTTATATCTTTGATCCATTTGGAGTTAATTTTTATATATGGTGTAAGACAAGGGTCTAACTTCATTCTTTAGCATGTGGAGACCCAATTTTCCTAGCACAGTTTGTTGAAAAGGCTGTCCTTTTCCCATTGAATGGTCAGAGATCATTTTGTGGATGAAATAAAATAAGGCATATGAAGCACCAAATACATGCCTGTGGTGGCTCGATAAATGATGCTCCCTTCTTCCTCCCCCTTATCCGAGACGTAGTTTTTAACTACTGAAGTTGATTTTTAATAATTATAATAGCAGATACCTACATAGCGCTTACTGTGTTCCAAGCTTTATCCTAAGTGTCTTTTTTTGTTTTGTTTTGTTTTGTTTTTTGAGACAGAGTCTCACTGTGTTGCCCGGGGTAGAGTGCCATGGCGTCATCCTAGCTCACAGCAACCTCAAACTCCTGGGCTCAAGCAATCCTTACAGGCATGCGCCACCATGCCCGGCTAATTTTTTTTTTCTATGTATTTTTAGTTGTCCAATTAATTTCTTTGTATTTTTAGTAGAGACGGGGTCTCGCTCTTGCTCAGGCTGGTTTCGAACTCCTGACCTCAAGCGATCCGCCCGCCTCGGCCTCCCAGAGAGCTAGGATTACAGGCGTGAGCCACCGCACCCGGCCTTATCCTAAGTGTTTTATGTAGGCCGGGCGCGGTGGCTCACATTTGTAATCTTAGCACTCTGGGAGGCCAAGGCTGGAGGATCGCTTGAGGTCAGGAGTTCAAGACCAGCCTGAGCAAGAGCGAGACCCTGTCTCTACTAAAAATGGAAAAAATTAGCTGGGCAACTAACACAGAAACAAAAAATAAGCCAGGTGTGGTGGCGAGTGCCTGTAGTCCCAGCTACTCGGGAGGCTGAGGCAGGAGGATTGCTTGAGCCCAGGTGTTCGAGGTTGCTGTGAGCTAGGCTGATGCCACGGCACTTACTCTAGCTTGGGCAACAAAGCAAGACTCTATCTCAAAAGAAAAAAAAAGTATTTTATGTATATTAACCCATTTAATTTTCATAACAACTCTGTGGGCAGGTAATGTTGTTTTCACTAGCTTTGGCACCTAGAGACTACGTGATTTGCCTAAGGTCACACAACTGGTAAGGGGTGGGGCCTGTACTTGAACCTGGGTAGTTTGTCTCTAGAATCTGTGGGCTCATAAACTGAACTTCCTCATGACTTGGGTGATTTTTGATGGCTTGAGACTATCATAAGCTTTTCAGTCCGGAGTTTGGTGAATGAAGGACCATGTTAGGACACCAGCCCTCAACCTCAGATCTCTCCGAGTGTTTCCCTGTGAAAGCAGCAGCCCCCACAATGACTCTGTTGGCTCAGAGCATCGGCTTGGGAAGAGAATGCGGTGGTTCCAGTCTCTTCCCATGTCCTGCCAGGGCCCCCGTGTTCCAGGAGAAATGTAAACCAGTTTTCTCTCTGATTCCACAGAAAAGGCAACAGATGGCTCCCTGCAAAGTGAGGACTGGACATTGAACATGGAGATCTGTGACATCATCAATGAGACGGAGGAAGGGTATGTGTGTCCCTCCTTGGAAGCCTCTCTCGGCTTTTGGGGGTCACTCAAAGCCTGCCAGGGCCTAAGGGTGGTGGGTTTATGATTTATTCTGTTTTTAATCTGTTTGCTTTGGCATTTAATAAGCTGACACTCTTAATTATCTGTCCTTTCCTGCCCATCCCTCCCCCTACTTCCCCTGTGGCAGTGCTCAGGGTAGAGCAGTGACACCTGCTTTAATCACCTGCTTTTAATCACAAGTGGAAATGAAGCTACTTGCTTACTTGGTTCCCAGCGGCCATCAGTCTCTGCAGCCAAACTATCACCTCTTCCTGTCCCTCCTCCTGGCCCCTCTCTCTCCTTCACACATGTGTGGCTGTCTCTGCCCTGGTTTCTGGAGAAGAGCCCCAGGAGGCAGAGAGCCACAGTGTCCATGGAGGGAGGTCGTGGGCATGGGTCAGGTGAGGCAGGGAGTGAGAAAGTGGCCTGTGTGACAAAGAGCAGTTCCTGGCATGAGTGGACTTAACCCACAAGTTGTCCCTCTTGCATTCCTACACCACTGGATCTGTTGTTGTTGTTTCCTATATCCTCTCCTTCCACTTTCTACACTCTAATTATGCTTCTTCCAAATTGGTCTATATTTAGCCCTCAATCCACACCATAAACATTTACTTTACCATAGCCATGCCCTCTTAAACCATCTCCAGAGTGGCAGTGAGAGAGGCTGGGACTCAGGCAGCTCTGGGCTGACATCTTGGCACTGTCACTCTTTAGACTTGCCACGTATGAACTGGGGACCAGCCTCTTAAATTTGGTCCTGCTTTCATTGAGCAAATATTTTGTGAGTGACTACCTTGTGCCGGGCCCTGCTGTAAGTACTGAGGACACAACAGTGGGTGAGATAGACTCCTTCCCCTGGAGTGCGAGGCAGGCCATAAACAGGACAGTTAAACAGGAGACCGGGTGGGTACAAGACTGTGGGAGGGAGATGGGGGAGAGAAGACTGGGAATTAGCTATTTTAATTAGAATGATCATGGAAAGTCTCACTGAGAAGGTGACATTGAACATTGACTTGAAGAAGATGAAGGAGTGAGCAGTGAGGATCATACAGGGAAGAATTGTCCAGGCTCAGGGAGCTGCAAGCACAGAAGTCCTGGAACAGAGGGTGTCTGGTGTGTCTGAGGAATAGCAAGGTGTCTGATGGGCCCAGAATGGAGGGATGGAGGAAAAGGGTGCCCGGAAATGAGGTTGATGATGTGTTGGGAATCCATGTGGGCTCCAGGGGGACTCTGGCTTTGACTTGAGGTGAGAGGGGAACGTATCGGAGGATTGGAGCAGGAGTGGCTTGGTCTCATTTACATTGTAAAGAGATCGCTGTGTCTACTGTGTTCAGAATGGCCTGGCTGGGTCAGGCAGAGGGTAGAAGCAGAGAACCCAATGAGGAGGTTTTCACTGTGATCCTGGTGTGAGGTGATGGCCGGCTTGCCTGGGGCGATGGGCGAAGAGGGCATGAGAGTTGATGAGATTCCGAATGTGTTTAGAGGGTAGAGCCGATGGAGTTAGCCCATGTGGGACAGGAGCAGAGTCAAGGACAACTGCAAGGTTTGGGTGAACAGCCGTGGGCGGAGCCTCTATTTCCTGAGATGGAGCAGGCTGGGAGCAGAGATCGGGAGTAGATCCGAGCTGCCAGCTGAGCTCCCAGGGGACATGGTGATGGGGGATGCACAGGTGACTCTGGAGTTGGGCAGTGGCCTGTGCTGGGTGAAAGTATGGGAGTCTTCAGTGAAAGGTGGTATTAAATATATTTTTGCCAGCCAAACGTAGGTGATCAGCTCAATGCCTGGCGTACATATATGACTCACAGATAATTGTTGGAGACTACACATCTCTGATACCATCGTCACCAGGCTCAGAATGGCCACCCTCCTTCAGACCCACTTGGGCTCCTCTCTTCCTCCCATCCCCCTCAGACACCACTCATTCACTAGTTTATCCAGTTGCCCAGCCATTTACTGACCCTGCCAGTGAAGGGGTAGTGGCTCCAGGAGGCCACAGTGATTGTGCAGCCTGCCCTAGAGGCCTCACCTGGGGGACTGGCCAGGGCTGTGGCTGAGGCCTGTGTCCGATGCCACAGCCACAAAGGCAGGCGCATGTGCCTTCAGAAAGGGCTGGCTTTGGGCTGTGGCTTCAAAGATGGCAGGAGGAGGAGAAGTGTGCCCTGTAGCTTAGGGTGGCATGAAAAGGACCAGCGTGTTGAAGGATATGAGTGGTCTGAGGTGGATACAGCAATGTGAAGGGGAGAAGGAGTGTCTAGAATTAGGCTGGAAAGGTGGTCATGGTCCGGTGCCTCATTCTCTGATGTCTATGCTTTACCCTAGAGTTGGACATTTGCTTTGGCCCTTCGCTCAGTCTCTTCCTGCTGCAGAACTCAGCAAGTTACCCCCTTGCTAACAAGCCCTTGGGACCTTCCCAGGCCCTTAGGGTAAGAGCCCTTAGCCAGGCCCTGCTGAGAAACCCTGGTCCTGCAGCTCCACTTTGGGTCCTTCAGCCCCCCGATCTTTCAGCTCCTTGAACTTTTCCATAGTCCTCTACCCAGTTTGAAATTCTCCACAAATTTGAGCAATATACAAATACAGTGGCAACTCTTATTTTCCAGTGAATTGTTCAAATGCTTCTATGGCTCGAGGCCAGGAAGCCCAGGAACTCTAGGAGCTTCCTCATTCCAGAGGGGCTAAAGCCTTCTTTTTGAAATCCTCACTTCTCAGAAGGCCTGATCTCACACACCTTCTTCCTCAAGTGGCCCAAGCTCCTGTTCCTATGTTTTTGAGTGAGAACATCTCAGTGGTTCCTGAGGATTTTCTGTCCTTGCCTCTGCTGTGAGATGTCTGTCAAAATCTCTTCCTAGCTGGGCGTGGTGGCACACCCCTATAGTCCCAGCTACTCAAGAAGCTGAGGCAGGAGGATTGCTTGAGCACAGGAGCTATGATCATGCCACTGCCACTGTACTCCAGCCTGGGTGACAGAGCGAGACTCTGTCTCTAAAAAAAAAATCTCTTCCTGAGTGGGAGAAACCCCCACAAGTTGGGCTGATGTTAGGGCACCCCACTCGTTCCTTTGTGCCCTTCCCTGAAGGTCCTCTGTCCTGCTGTCCTGTCTGTTCCCCTCACCTCCCTTACTAAGTACTTCCCATCATTCATGGATCTCAGTTTGAATCTCATTTCCCTGACACCCTTCCCTCCAATTTGGACAAGTCCTCCATTATATGATTTCTTAGCACCCTGAATTATACTAATGCTCATCACAGTTTAAACTTAGGGGTCTGTGTGGTGTTTATTAGTGTTTGTCCTGCCCTGTAACCCCTATGAGACTGTGAGCTCCATGAGGGCAGGAATGCCATCTGTTTTCCTCACCATTTTGTCCCTAGCATCTAGCACAGTGCACACATGATTGGCTCTTGATAAATATTTGTTAAATAAGTGAATAAATGAATGAGGTCCCTAAGGCACTCACAGTGTGATGAGGGATGCAGGCATGTAAACATAATCAGAGCATAGCAGGACAAGTTCTCAGAGAGAGAGAGAGAAGCTAGAGAGAGACAAGCACAATACAGCAGCCAGCCTTGGGGCTGTTGGCAACCAAGGCTTCTTGGAGGAGGTGACACCAGACTGAAGTCTTACAGGCTGCCAGGACATCAGCCAGGTGAGGTAGGGATGATGGGATGGGGATGGGGGGAAGGGAGAGCCCCCAGGCTGAGGGCGGGCGAGCAGCAGATGTGCAGGAAACATAGTAGAGTGGGATTGGCAGGATTAGGGTGACAGAGACTGGAGCTGTTGCCTGGTCTGGAATCAGGTACCACTCACTTGTGCAACCCTGATTGGGTTACTTCATCTCCCTGTGTCTCGGTTTCCTCTTCCATAAAATGGGGTTACCAATATACCTATTTCATAGGGCTGTTATCAGGATTAAAAGAATAAATGCATATAAAGTATCTGGCTATATAGATATATCTCCATATCCATGCTATGTATATATGGATTTGCTATTTCTCCTTTCAAGATTTCCATTGCCCATGGCTTTTGTCATCATGTTTATCTGGGGTGTCAGTTGTCTGTCTGGTCCTGGTGATGATCTCTGTGGGTTCGCCGCCCTTACCCCGTCTACCGTCTCTGAGTACTTGCCATGTGCCAGGCCCTGTGCCCAGCCCTGGATTGCAGCATCTCGTGCACCCCTCAACAGCTCTGCAAGGTGGAGACAGCCCATTTTACTGTTGAGGAAACTAAGGCCCAGAGTGGTTTGGTCACTTGCCACAGGCCTTACAGCACAGCCTGGAAGGGCACATGTGGGATGCAAGCCCAGGCTCGCCTGGCCCCGGCCACTGAAGCTCTGCCTGCATGTCTTGTATCGCTGCTTTACCAACGGGAGGCTGTGGTCCTGGTGGGTGCAGATTGGTAAACTGCCCCATAGGCCTCTCCCTGGGCTTTCCCTAACGTCCAGGACTGAGGTTACTGCCAGCCTAAGGGGTGCTGACACATGAGGCCTTGTGTGGCAGTCCCTTGGTCATTAACCCGGAGTGGCTGGCTGAATAACCCACCTGGGAGTGTTTTAGACCCTGTTTACCAGGCCTCACCCCAGACCTACCTAATTAGGGCACAAGCATGTGGGTTTGAGAATTGTTCCCAAGTGATTCCGATGCATGGCTCTGACAAGGATCCACTGACCTGGGTCATGTTCACGACTGTGTCTGGACGTTCCCCAGTTCAGAGTCTCTGCCTGTACTCCAGCCTGTAAGCTGGAAGGGCACAGGGAAGGACTTGGATGAATACAGTGGAGCAAGATAATGGGGGAGGGAGTGTAGGCCGATGGAGGAGGAGCAGCCGTGTCCTCCTGGGGGTGACAAAGAAAAAGCTTCTTCTCACAAGAGATGAATGACAAAGAGGTGTAAAGGTTGTGGCCAGAGGCATGACAAGCAGCTTGTCTGCGGTCCAGCGAAGAATTCTTATAAGTATGGGGTCCAAGGAGACCTTGAGGAGCCTGAAGATGGCCCAGAGGCCAAGTCATGAGGGCCTGGGACTGCCCAAGGGGCCTGGCCCTTCCCCTGAAAGCCACCGGGTTTGGCACCATGTCACACAGGCCCTCCTTTCTTCCTGCTCCACCATGGCTCTTGACGCATGCATGCGTCTCTCCCTTTTCCCGGTTTCCAACTCCATGCTGTCTAATCTGCTGCAGCTCCTTGAAACTTTGTGATTCCTCTGACATGACTTTGATCCTCCTCTCTGAAGCTTCTCCCCCGGGGAGAGATAAATACTGCTTTTGTGCTCACCCATCACTCTCCGGCAGTACTTCCCTCCCTGAGCCTGTGGATGAATTTTCATTTTAAACCTCACCCAGGAGCCTACTGATTTCCCACTCAGTGGCCCCCGCACGGGGAGAGGGTGCAGGTGCCCTGCCAGCCAGAAGGGACCGCGGCCCTCAGGGGCTGTTCCCATTTTCCTGCTCCATAAAGCTCAGGAGGACAGGAAAGAGACTGGATTGAGAGGGATGGCAGCGATGGGTTAGGAACAACCGAGGTCTGGCAGAGCCTTAGAGAGAGGAAATCAGTCCGTGCTCCTGGCCAGTAGCCACTGACTTTCACCGGCTCTCAGGCCACAAACAGCCCTCAAAGCAGAGAGCTGGTTATGTCTCATATTTGCAGAAATCAGCATCCCTGTTTGGAAATGGCAGCCATACTGCTAACACACTTGGCCGGGGGCCATTCCCCTGGAGAGCCTTGTCCCATCAGCCCTTTGACCCAGGAGCCGAGAATTCCTGCAGGGCAGCCATGTTTCAAGCTGGGAATGGAAAATAGGTGATTCAGAGTGTTTTTATTTATTTATTTATTTATTTTGAGACAGAGTCTCACTGTGTTGCCCGGGCTAGAGTGCCGTGGCATCATCCTAGCTCACAGCAACCTCAAACTCTTGGGCTCAAGCGATCCTCCTGCCTCAGCCTCCCGCGTATCTGGGACTACAGGCATGTGCCACCATGCCCGGCTAATTTTTTCTATATATTTTTAGTTGTCCAATTAATTTCTTTCTAATTTTAGTAGAGACAGGGTCTCGCTCTTGCTCAGGCTGGTTTCGAACTCCTGAGCTCAAACAATCCGCCCACCTCGGCCTCCCGGAGAGCTAGGATTACAGGCGTGAGCCACCGCGCCTGGCCATTCAGGGTGTTTTTAAAATTTCTTCCAGAAGTCTTGCTTGCCTTGCTCCTGTGACTTTCTCTCTAAATTAACACTGATTAGCGCAGCTTCCACTCTCCCCTCCCCTGACTTCAAATGTGTGTGACCTTCACACACATTAAGAAGGGCTTTTCCATTTGATAAATAGAGTCATAATATTTTAGAACTGTAGGAATAGGAGGTCCCTGACTTACAAATGTTCAACCTAGAAAAGACTAAGATATATTGATTCATAGATTAGTAGAAGGCTACAGCCCACTTGTGATAGCGGAGGGTTGGCCTATAGCCAGACTGGGGGCTTCCCAGAGCACAGGGTGGTGTGGCATCACAGGGCAGAGACTTCATGCCAGGGGCTGCCAGGGGCAGCTCTCAGTCCCACAGCTTTGTCGAGTCTTACGTTAGAATAAATTAAATAACATGTTAGACACAAGACCTACAAGTAACAGGTGTGCTTAGAGGGTGGCTGGGGATCCTAACTCTCAGGTATAACAGTGATTGAAGGAAGAACTCATTCCAAGTTCCAAATAATCAGTTTATGAGCAAGCTTTGAACAGGGCCCATTCGTAACTGGGGACTGCCTATAGTTCTGCAAGGTGCCCTCTGGGAATCTACATCAGATCTGTTACCTAAAAACATATGATTCGTTGGGTTTTGAGGAGACTCACTTAAGCTTTCTCTGGGCAAAAGGAGTTCCATGGAATTCAGGAATAGCTGAAGAGCCAGGCCTAAGCAAGGACCTAGCCACTCTCTTCTGCGTCTCTCTTGTGGTTTCTCTGGAAAAACTCTCTTCAATCTACCCACATACCAATGGGTTAGTTATTGTTTTTAATAAATCATACTTACATGTGATACAGAATTCAAAAGGCCTACAAAAAGGCAATCCAGTGAACCCCCTCCCGCCGCCCCTGCCACCTGGTTCCTTCCTCAGGGGCAGCCACAGTTACGAGGCTCCTTCCACAATTTAGTTCCCTGCACTGGCACGTGTACTCTGTGTGTTTGCCATCCTTTTAGAACTCAGTAGCATGCCATATGCCCTGTTCTGCAAAGGACTTTATGTACGTGTCTTTGAGTTTTGCCCATCTTGCTGCATAAGGAGTTTCTTTATTCTTTTTTGCAGCTACATAGTATTCTCTTGCATGGATGAGCCATAATTTAATTTAACCTGTTTTGCATTGATGGACTTTCAGTTTGTTTCCAATCTTTTGCGTTTACAAACATGCTGCTGCAGATAACCTTGTGTATATGCTAGCTCACACAAATGAGAGTGACTCTCTAGGACAGTGCCCCAGAGTGGGATTTGCAAGGATCTTAACATGTCTGACCTTTCCTCCAGGCCAAAGGATGCCATCCGAGCCCTGAAGAAGCGGCTCAATGGGAACCGGAACTACAGAGAAGTGATGCTGGCGTTAACAGTGAGTGTTGCTCCTGGGCGAGGGAAAGCATCTGGGGAGCTCCCTGCTCCCCGCCTTGCCCCTCACAGGACCTTCCCTCTTCCCACTTGGCGCAGCCCCCAAATGGCTTGCTGCCTGGGCTGGTGAAGTCCAGCAGAGCCTTCTGGTAGTTTCCTTTGGTGTTCCTGCCCTCCCTCTGAAACAGACTGAGCTTCAGTTTGGTAAATATATGCCAGCAGAAGATAAGGCATGGGCAGCCTTGCCAGGTACAGAAACCCACGACAAAGGAGCCAAAGGCCTGGGGATGGGTCCCCTTTCTGCCACCAGCCTGATCTGAGACTGGGGGCCAACTGCTTTTCTAGGTGTCAGTTTCCTTTTTATAAGTGTTAACTTTTACCTATTGAGTACCTGCCTGGGACTGTGCTAAGCTTTTCACATGTTAATGCAGACATTTAAAATCACCTTCCACCAAAATAGGTTTTGTTATCCCCCTCATACAAATGAGGAAACTGAGGCTCAGAGAGGTCTAGAGGTTTACCCAGCCTTCACAGCCAGTAAGCTGCCGAGCTGTGGATTGCCATCATGAGATGGTCCTTTGTATGGGATACAAACTGCAAGCAGCTGCAAAGCCTCTTGAAAAAGTCAGCCAGTGACTCCTTTCAGTAAGGAACAGACCAGAGTTTTGCCCTTCCTTAAGATGTTAGAGAATTAAAAGGGACAACTTCAGGTGTTATTTCTGTCTTGAAAGCTAACAGTCTTTCAGATGTGGCAAAATCTGGGCCACAGTGAGTTCTTAAAATAGAAACTGTAACAGGTCAGCAGGTCGAGTTCTCTGTAGGTTTGAAATAGTGGGTTATTTATCCAAAACAGCCATAACATGTTTCCTTTTAAAGCAGAGAAACTGTTTGGATTTTTTGCCCAAGTAAAAACCAAAAACTTATTAAGAGAGTTCTTTCTGCCAGAGAATTAGGATTTGAATAATAAAGGAGAAAAGACCAATTGAGAAATAGGGAATTGAAAGCTTTGTATTATTTTTTTCTCAGAATTTGAACCACAGCATTTACTAAACCCAGAGTGATGTCCAATATGAATTGTTTTCAATAACTCAGATCTCCAGGGAATGAGCTCTGACACATCAGGGCATGTTCATGGTGTCTAAAGCTTCTCCCTTTGTATGCCCAACTTCATGGTAACCATATTGGATGGAAATCTGTCTAAAGTGGACTCTGCGTTTACTTGCCTTCCTACAGCAGGGCATGATGGACGTTACTTGACCTTTCCTGATGGTCGGGTCTTCACTACAAATCCAGTCATGCCTTCGGGAGGCTCGTGGAATGGGCAGAGCCATCACCCCTACACCAAAGGCCCATCCTAGCACACTTTGCATGGTCTCATGCAAAAAGCTTATGAAGCTTTTATGGCTTCACTTACCCTGTTAGCTGCTCTCAGCCTGTTTCTTGTGGCCCTTTCCCAACTTCCTATCTGTACCCACCAAGATTGTTAATATTTACACAAAATGAAAGTCAGTAGGAGGTCCTGAGCGGCTCTGTGCTTGTATCTTTTTGTCTGGACTTGCAATGTCCATTTCTGATTGCTTAGAGGCCCCTTTTGCTTATTCTGTGGGTTTTGGCTGTGTTCTAGAAAATTGCCACTGTGTGTTTCATGCTCTACAACCCATAAGGACAGCTCTTCCAGGGGCCTGTTGGGCAAGGTGGCCTGAAGTGGCCCTTGTCAGCCCAGGGAGGACCTCCTGCACCTTCTGCTCAGAGGGGCTTGGGGCCGCTCTGTGGCACATGCATCTCTGTCCAGGACATTTCCAAGGCCAGGAATACACTGGCCTTGGGGGCTGCTGCCAGGAAAAGTCGAGGATATGCTCCCTAAGGGTGGGAAGCGGCCCCTCCCCACTGCTGCCCTGAGAGTGGAGCAGAGCCCAGGCTGCCCTGCCCCTCAGCCCTGTGCCTCTTTTTCCAATTCTCTTTCCCACCCACTTGAATCCCCCTGCCCTGCCCTTTCCTACCTCTCCTCATGGAATAAAGGATACTTCCTGCCACCTACCTTGGTCCTTGCAGCTGACTGCCTGAGTTGGGAGGAGGGTTTTAGAGAACCCTAGGGAGATGGGTGCCTGTAAGCCCCTTGAGAGCAGGAAGATCCCCTCCTGGTTCATCTCTGCAGGCCCCACAGGTCATTAAGAGAGAGAGAATGCCAGTTATCTCATGGTCACCCAGAATCAGGCACAAGCAGGGGCTAAGAAAGGGAAATGCCTCCTTCACTGAATAAAACTTACGGTTGCTGGCCGGGCGCGGTGGCTCACGCCTATAATCCTAGCTCTCTGCTAGGCCGAGGCGGGCGGATCGTTTGAGCTCAGGAGCTCGAGACCAGCCTGAGCAAGAGCGAGACCCCGTCTCTACTAAAAAAAATAGAAAGAAATTATCTGGACAACTAAAAATATACAGAAAAAATTAGCCGGGCATGGTGGCGCATGCCTGTAGTCCCAGCTACTCGGGAGGCTGAGGCAGTAGGATCGCTTGAGCCCAGGAGTTTGAGGTTGCTGTGAGCTAGGATGACGCCACGGCACTCTAGCCCGGGCAACACGGTGAGACTCTGTCTCAAAAAAAAAAAAAACAAAAAAAACTTCCGGTTGCTTAAGGCTGTGAGGATGCTAAGCTTCAGAGTTTTCCTCGGCAGGCCAAGCAGAGCCCAGAGTCTCCCGTGGTGTAGGCAGCAGTGGGTCAGGACGATTCTGGCTGGCCGTAGAGCTGCCACAGGGGAGAGCCCCAGCTCCGGCCTCTTCGGTTAAGCTGCACAGCCTCTCCAAGCCTCGGTCTCCTCACCTCTAACGTGGAACAATCCCCACCTTACAGGGTTATTTCAAGGGCCAAATGAGGGAACAAGAAATCTAGCACACGTTACCTGTCGCCTGAGGAACTCTCAGCTGCTGTGACTTGGAGGAGAGCTGTGAGGGCGGGTTGGCTCTGTGGCCCCAAGGTGGACAAGGAGACCAGGACTTCAGAGGAGGCTGAGCAAGCTCCCATCTGCTCTGGCACTGGCTGCCAGTGTGTACCTAGACCAGTGTCTTTATCTTTTAACTCTAAAAAGTGGGATAATAAAGTCCGCTTAAGGAGAAGCAATTATCACTAGTTGTGAGAATCCAGGGAAATTACGTATCACTTGGGAGATCTCTCACGGCACCTGACGTGTAGCTGGCATTCAGTCAATCGTACGGTTACGGATCTTTCTTTACAGCTGTGCTTTGTCAAGGCAGAGCTGGACTGTATGAACCAGACCTGTGGAGCGGCTGCGTGAGTTAATCTGTGGTCAGATGAGTTTGGGCGAATGAGAATAACAGAGGCAGTCAGAAATGTTCCCTGTTGCTGGTGACATCCTTTGGAGGAGGTGTTCCCCAGCTAGTAGATGTGGCACTGGGGGGTGTCGTCAGAAGGGCCAGGTAATGCTCTATGTTGGTTTACAGAGAGCTGGGAAGTTCAGAGAGCCGTGTTCGAGGCTGGAGAAGCCCTGCTCGTTGGTACCTCTGAATTCCAAGGGGCTTCCCACTTGTCCTGTGGGAGAAGAAGGAGCCATCCCTTGACTCATGTGTAGCAGCCTTCTGAATAGTGATCATGGAATTATAGTCATCATTTATTGGTTCCCTACCCTATGCAGGTACATTTTCTCTCGAATCTTGCCAACAATCTTGCAAGGGAGGACTCATTGTCCCCGCTTTACAGATGAGGCTCAGAGAAACTGTCCTGAGCCATTCACGGAAAAAGCGGCAGAGCTGAGATGCAAGCCGAGATTTAAGCCTATCTGGCCAGAACCTATGCGCTGAGCTTTTCTGAGCAGCTAAGGCCTGTGTAACTTGTTTTCCTGGACAAAGGAGGAGCAGGCAGGGTCTGAATCAAACGTGGACCTTAAAGCCACATGGTAACTGAGGCCCACAGGCCATTCGTCAGGGGTGGAAAATCCTTTGTCATTGCCAATTTTAGTTGCAGAGGAGGGTTGTGTGTGGGGTATGTGTATATGTTTGCTTCCTCACATACAAGGGCCAGTAACTCACTAGGCAATTCAAGCTGTCACAGCAGCCTCCTCTTGTGACAGAGCCTGTGTCCCATTGGCTAATGCCTTACACCCAGAGGCCCGAAGAGAGGAGTTAAAATGCTAATTTTCAAGGACCGCTCAGTCATTTTGATCCCATTAAAATACTAGCATCCTTCTCATGCAAAACCGGTGCCTCAATTACCAACTAATTGCCTGATTATTGTGCGGGGACAGGAGACTTCAGTCAGCAAGGGGCTGCTGTCATCCCCAGAGGAACGTCTGAATCAGAGTGTGGGAATGCATGTGCCATCTAGGTTTGGCTCTGGAGGAGACATGTCAGAAAGCCGATCTAGAAGCAAGACAGAGGGGTGGTGGAAACTCAGCTGCCCTCCTCAGTCCCCTGTGTCTCCTCCAGCTCCCAAGGGGGTGACCTCTTGCCTTCCCTCCCACATCAGGTGCTGGAGACATGTGTGAAGAACTGTGGCCACCGCTTCCACATCCTTGTGGCCAACCGAGATTTCATCGACAGTGTTCTGGTCAAAATCATCTCTCCCAAGAACAACCCTCCCACCATTGTACAGGACAAAGTGCTCGCTCTGATCCAGGTAGGTCAGCTTCCCTTGCCCAATTTGTTGGAACAGAGTAAGATGAAGTCTGTTATTGATGAGTCTTCACGCTCTCCCACCATTTGCAGGAAAAAATGAAGGCTTCTATGTTTAAATATTTGGTGCAAAATACTTACACTTATTTTTTTAAATGCTCATCCCGCTGGAATAAAACCCTAATTGGTGGTTCTCCAGCCAATTGACTTAGTCTCCATGAAGCTTTCTGGGTGCCTGGCCATCTGCTGCCCATGTCCAACCTCAAGAGTAGGGGAATTAAACTCCACCTCTTGAAGAGAGGAGGGTCAAAGAATTTGTGGACATGTTGTAAAAACCATCACATGGAGGAGAGGGTATAATGAGGAATGTCTAGGGCTGAAGGTGGAAGGAGCTGGCAGGATATGGGGCCAGAAGGATGGTCAGAGGCTTGTGGCCCTACATGCTGGAATTTGTGCTTGGTCCTAAAGGCAGTGGGAAGCCATTGAAGGGTTCTGAGCTGGGGTATACACAAACCTGGATTTTAGACAGAGCACCTGGTGACAAGGTGAAGCACATAAGTCAAGAAGCACATCCAACCTGGATGATTAGTACTGTGGCAGAGGCAAGACCGAGGCCTGCAGGAGCCAAGAGGAGACACCAACCCAGGGGGTAGGCGTGGGGTCTGGCAAGGGCAAAAGGAGGCAGCCCGGCAGAGGCAGTGTGGTCAGGGTGGGCTCGGGGCTCTCCAGGTGCTGCTGGGATACGGGGCTGGAGTGGAACAGGAGGCCCGAGCTGGAGTCTGTTGCCTCTGTCTGTTCTCTGTGCCTGAGTTCCCTCTGCCTGAAAAGTCCTTCCCCGGCTCTTGGAGCAGTGGCTCCTCTTCATCATTCAGGTGGCCTCCCTACCGATTTACCACACACATTCTCTTGCACATAGCGCTCTCCTTTATGGTCTCCAAGCTCTCGGCTTTGCTAACTTTTCTTTTGTCTGCCTCCCTCTTGGTTCCCTGAGAGTCCAGGGACGTGGTTTCCCCAGGGTCTAGGGCAGTTGAATGTGTAGAGTGGGTTTATAGTAAGGATTTTTAAAAAATGAATGTATGAATGTAGTTCACTATAGCTCTGAGGAAGGCAAGGAGTGTGGGTGACAGCAGAGCCCCTCTCATGCTCCCCGAGGGTTGTCCCTCTCCCCCTCCCCCAATCCTGCCCACCCAGCATCTTGTGCTGTCTCTCTCTCTCTCTCTCACTCTCACTCACACACACACATATACACATGCACATATGCACACACCCATGTTCCCTCTCCCCCAACATCCCTTCCTCCTGGGGTTATACTCCCTGCCTCAACCCCCCAGGAATTGATGTCAGGAAAACAAATAGCGGCTTCTTCTCACAAAAGGGGGGGCACCGTAGCCTGAACCCCTTATGCAGAGACAGCTCTTGACAGGGCCTACAGTGGCTGCAGCACTTCCTGGGTGAGAATTTCTTAACCCTGAGACCTGTCTGGGCCAGGTGGGGTGGTCACAAAGGTCATGATCTGCACTGCCCCTGCTGCGTGGGGACCTTGGCTGAGGCAGACAGAGCCTCTGCAGGGGCTGTGGCCCACGTCTCTGCCCCAGACGATGCCTATCCCTGCACACCCCACCCTGGCCTCTAAGTGTTCCCACTGGGATCACTCCTTCTCCACATTCCAACTCCCTCCACCTTCCACCCAGCCCTGCTTCTAACCTTGGGCAAGTTTGTTAACTTCTACCTCCTTATCTGTACAACAGGGCCTGGGTTTCTACCTGCCTGCTCTCAGCCCTGAGCCTGTGAGATCAGCATGCCCGGCACAGTGGCCTGCACCCATGTTCTGAGGCGTCCCCCTACTGGCTGGCAGCTGCAGTGTGCACCAGCCCCGGACGCCTGAGCAGAACAGGACCTTGAGGTGCCTCACAGGCTCCTGCCTGGCCCGGACACACCAGTGTGTGCAGTTCCCTGGTCCAGCTGTGGAACACAAGGAGCTTCAGGCCAGGGTACTCCTAGGTGGCGGTTGATAGCCTACCAGGGAGAGCACTTCCTCTCCAGGTCTGCGGTGTTCCTGAAGGGCTCTCACCTTTGGTCATAGCCACCCAACATGGAGAGCAGCTGGCAGCAGACAGCCGTGGATGGCTCGGCTTCTGTGATGGGTGGACCAAAAGAATAAACAGGATCGCTGAGCCCTTTTTTCACTTTTTATTGAATTATACTATTTATGCAGGAAATCACACATAAAAGCGCATACAATTTGGTAAATTTTTACAAACTGAACATTCCCATGTAAACAGCCCCTGTATCGCAAAGCAGAATATGACCAGCACCCAAAAAGCTCCCATGCCTCAGGATGGTCACTTGCCTAACCTCTCACAGCACAGGTGAGTTTTTCCTGTTCTTCAGCCACGTTGGGCTCCTACAACAGTGCTCTGTTGCCTGTTGTGGCTGGTTCTGCTGTTTGTGGGTGTCATGAGAGTTGTTGCCTGTGATTGCAGGTCTTTCGCTCCCTTTGCTCCCTCTGCTGTGCCAGGTCCCATCACGGGAACGTGCTGCAGTTTATCCCTCCAACTGTTGATGCGCACTTGGTGTTTGCAGTTTGGGGTACTATGAAAAATGCTGCTACAAGCATCTAGCACATCTTTTGGAAAGCATTTGTATTCATTTTTATCAGGTGTGTATTAAGTTGAGTATGCGCCATCTTTGTTGGCCAAAAATGGTCAAATATTAGCCATTTCCTATGTTTCAGCCTAACACCTAGGAGCCAGGTTGTGGGGTGGTGGGGAATGCCAATGCTCGATTCAGTTCCCCAGTGGTCTCTCCCAGCAGTGTACAGGAGTTGTAGTTGCCTCACATCCTTACCAACATGCCCTATTTTCTGTCTTCTTCATTATAGCCCATCTGATGAGTATGGAATGATATTGCATTGGGTCAACCTTTTTTTTAACCCCTTTGAGAAAAAAAATCTTATTTGCATGTTGAATATACTTCCAAAAACTGTACAAGCTCCCCAGAGAGTCTGATAATTTCCTCTGGGAGAGAAAGTACTGTCCCCACCATGAAACAAGAATAGGGTAGTTGAGGGGTGACAGAGCCCTCACTTTCTTGACAGCCTGTGAGTAGGTAGCAGGCTATCACATAAATACAGCTAGACTGGGCTGGGTGTGGTGGCTCACACCTGTAATCTCAGCACTTTGGGAGGCTGAGGCGGGAGGATTGCTTGAGGCTAGGAGTTTGATACCAGCCTGGGCCACATAGTGTGACCCCATCTCTATAAAAAAATAAGAAAAAATTAGCCAGGCATGGTAGCCTGAGCCTGTAGTTCCAACTAGTTGGAAGCAGCTGAGCCAGAGGATCACTTGAGCCCAGGAGTTCAAGGGTACAGTGAGCTATGATCATGCCACTGCCTTCCAGCCTGGGCAGCAGAGCGAGACTGTCTTAAATGAATGGATGAATGATTGAAAAAAATATGGCTAGACTGAAAAGAGTTTCAGCTAAATATGTGGGTGCCAGAGCAGTGACAGAGTCTTCCTCACCATCCTTGGTATCAGGATGCTGTTGGTGCTCTTCCAAGCCCCGCTGCCTGGGAAGTGGGGCTGGGTCAGTCCTAGCCCTGCCTTCAGGGAGCTAGCAGTTTAACAGGAGAAACTAAGGTTTGCAAGTGACAGAGGGCCAGGGCCTAGCCAGGAAGGACTTGAACCAGCTTTTTATTGTTTCGGGGTGGGATGCAACTCTAAACTTTCCATTCCAGGGAAGTAGATTGACCATATTGGCACTTAAAAATCTTTCAAGGTGAAGGGGCTGCCCACGTGGGCCCCAACAGCCCCTTGTGCCCATGGAGCATGGTTGGGGCTCCTGGCAGAGGTGGAACCGATGGCTGTGATCACCCACCACTGTCCTGGGCACACTGCCCCTTTGGCTGCCCCTAAGGATGGAAGCAGGGCTGCAGCATGTTGAGGGGCAGGAGGGAGGTTGGGCTCCAGACCACCTTTCCTAAAGTCTCCCTGGGCCTGTAGGCAGATGAGTGGTAGAGCTGGTCCTGGCACGTCTGCCTGCCCCCAGCCCGCCTCCCTGAGTCCCTTCCTCGAGTGCTGATCACAGGCATGGCTAGCTTAGGATTGGCTACCGAAGTGGCATTTCCAGTGGCCCATGTTTGCCTTCAGCAGCCCCCTGGGCCAACTGTAAAGAGAACCCAGCTTATGTCCAGCCCTCCCTCCCCCTGCCACATTCCATCACTCTCCACTTGGAGGCTTTCCGTGCCTTCCGGCTGCCCTCCAGCCATCTGTAGGTACCCCAGCTCCCCCCCAAAATTCAATGCTTCAGGATAATGTGCTCCAAAGGGCCCTGCCCATCAGAATGCACAAAGAAGACTGCCTTCTGCTTTCCCTGAGACCCAGCCCAGTAGGTGAACCACACAGCAGCATGGTTCTGGGACTGTTTACCAGACTTGGGTTTGAGGCCCCAGTCAGGTGAGAGGCCCCACAGGCATCTGCCCTCTGAGGGAGCCGGTCTCCCTGGCAGGGTGGGTGGGAGCAGAGCAGCCTGGTTAGCAGCTCTCCAGCGCTTGCTCCCAGCCCCTGGACTACCAAAGGCACCACTTCCGGCAGCATCCAACTTTCAACCTGTTTTCACCCAGTCCCTCAGCTGCTCTTTTGGCTTGCCTTCCTTTTTGTTTGCTCATGTTAGGTCACATTTGTTGAGAAGATAAAAAGGATACTCCTGCTCTATGTCATCCCTCAGCTTTTCCCTTGAACTTGTTTTCAGGAACAGAAATGGTGTCATGCTGGTAGAGTAACCTCAGAGTGGTCATGCCTTCCCTGTTCCCCTCCCCAAGCCCCAGCAATAGAGTCTAAAAACACTGTTTCCACTGAAGAAAGTAAGCTGACGGGTGGGGCAGGAGGGCCGGGAGGAGCTGGAGGTGTGTTCTGTGAAGGTGGCAGAGACCTGGTGGCTGGGCTCTGGCCAGATTCTGTGTGGACAGTGGCTCTGCAGGAACCCTGTCACTGGGAACAGGAAGCTGGGCCTGGAAACATAAGCAGAAAATGACAGCAGCCTCCTTTTATGCAAAGGCGTAACAGAACTCAGAGTTTAAATCAGCAATTGTTTATTGATCTGAAATTTGCTGATTCAAAACTTTGTCAAACTTTGGGGGATACAGAAACGAATAGGCTACGGTTTACGTTTGTGTAAGGTTTCAGTCTGGGGTTTGCTATATAATCCAAAGGAATGAAGGAGATAAAAACGTGAATTGATCTCTTCTTTTTTTGCTCCTCAATAGACCTTCCTCTGGGTCTTTCAACCCCCTAATCCTGTAGCCACAGGCAGGAAAAGAGGGAATTATATAAAGAGCGTGGCTTCCAGGGAGGTGGCCACTCGGCCATTAACTGTCTAGCTCCTGTGACAGTCCTCAGAGGGTGCCCGTGCTGCCACATCACTTTGCTTTCTGAGAAGGTGGCTCTTGGGGTGGGCAGCCTGCCCCGCCCACCTGCTGCTCCTGGGCTTCAGGTTAGGGACCCTGAGGCTCGCTGCATCTCCCCTGGGAAGCGTCCTCAGCTGGGTCAGCCTTCCAGGGGCCCTCCTGCATCACTGTCATCTCAGTCTATTGACAGCCTAAATGGCCATCTTTCCTCTGTTCTCCGAAGTAGGAAAATAGGATGCTTAGTAGCCGTGAGAACAGAATTCAGTTTAACCTGACAAATATTGATGGACTGCCTTCTCTGGGCAAGGGCAAGAGATTCGATATGTGCCTTCAGTAGGTGTCTGACCTGTTGGGGAGGGAGACAGGAGGCACATCCCAAGAAGATGCTAGGGACACATGGCATCTCTGGGTTTCTCCCATCTCTGCATTTTCACATATGACTGTTCCTTTAAAGCCCCACCCCCACACCCCATTTGTTCCTCTGTTGGCGTCAGAATCGTGTTCGCTGGAGATTGCTGTCGTGAACATATGCTCTGTTAGCAGCCATCTCACCCAGACTGCACAGGGGTCCCAGACAGGGGTTGGAATCATGGCAGTTGGGAAAGGGGTGCATTAGCCAAGACCACTTGGTTGCAAATAACAGATGCCAACTCCAGCTTGCATAGGCAAAGAGGAGAGTTTGTCATAAGGCAGGGCCTCCCGGAAGCCCAGATCACCCAGACTAGGGGTGTGACTGGGCCTGGGAAGGGACAGAAGGGATCAAGAAGGCCCTCCAAATCCTCTTCTGCATGTCTGCGTCTCTGAACATACCAGCTGCTCCTTTTCCAGAACATAGGCTGTCTGTGCTCCCCATCCTGGGCTGGCACATGCCTGCCTCCCAGGGCCCACAGCTGTAGAGGATAGTTCTGTCTACCCTCTCCTGGGACCGAGCTCCCGGGAGGAGGAGCATCTGATTGGCCCAACTTGGAATATGCATTCCCCACTCCCCCAGGTGCAGGCACAGATGCTGGGGCTACCTGTGTGAACATGGGGGCAGCAGAGTGCCTTAGAAGAACAGGCCCCAAGAAAGTATCCTCTGACTGGAGAGAACGACCATAGTTCTTTCATCGTCATTCCCATTATCTCAAATTTGACTTGGGTAAAGCAAGATGAATTGAAAGAGATCCCTGGAGCTGTTTGTGCTCCCGTGCAGAGGCATGAAGTGGCACCAGAAAGAACTGCCATGCGTTCTTCCCCAGCCTCCCCGGTGGGCTGTGAGGCTGGTCTTTAGACTCTAAAGTCAGGACCCTAAACTAAAATGCTGGAGCAGCTGGAGGCAGCCAGGGCAGCTGGCAGGGGCGGGGCTGCGGGGCACTCCCTGGGGAGCCTGCGGGCAGCTGGGCCTTCCAGACAGCCCTCTGCTGCACCTTCTTCGCCCTCCTCAGAATCCAGAAGGAAGTGTTGGCCAGGATGGGCTGTCCTGATCCAAGAGTGTTAAATCCCTGAGCGTGCAAATTAACAGAGTGCATCAAGGAGAAAGCCAGGCTGACAGCACTGTTTGTAGTAAGTGGATGCATCGGTTGTAATTAAGAAGGCTTTTTGGAAACTGACCTTTTAACTTCACGTGGGTCTGTTGGTTAGCGATAGAGTTTCTGTGGCTGCCTCAGGATTGGTTGGAGCACATTGCTGGAGCCAGGGAGGCAGTTAAATGCTGTGACCACGACAGACTCGGCAATGGAGCTCGGGCACGAGAGGCTGTGCCGCCTCCGCTGGGTATGTATGGTGACCGGGACAGCACGGGAAGGGCTGGGTCCCATTTCTGGGGAGCCCTTTGGATATGCTTCTTTTTATAATACATTCTGTAATTTCCAAAAAGCAGAATATTAAAAAAAAATTTTTTTAAGAGTTTCACGAGTCAACGAAAATGATAATCTTTTTGAATTTTTACTCTTTCCTGTCTCTATTGTGTTTTTGTTTAGGAGAATCTAGTGGTCATGCTGTCCATTGGATTTGTTTGATTTGGGCACATGTATGTTGACATTGTTGGCAGCACGACAACATGGAAGAAGCTTGGGGCAGGGACCCCCCGCTGGGGGTCAGCTCCCCGGCCACGGAACTGCAGTCATCTCACCTGCCATTGATGGGGCTGGGCTAGGCAATCTTGGCTTTAGTGGTCTCTGATCTACTGAGAAAACCTGGAGTTAGCTTTTATTTCATATCACACATCAATTTCTCCTCTCCTTTCTGCTCAATTTGCCTACGGTTCCCAATTCCACTGATGGAAGCTCTCAGGGCAGAGTGTGATAATGACCGTGCACACAGCGGCTCCTGCACAGAGGGTGGGCGTCCTACCACGAGGTGACGAGGCTGTGCCTTCCACTCCCTTAAGCTCAACAGCCCCAGCAATTGATTTCCTTGTGATTAGGGAAATGCCTGCTTTTTAGGATGCGCCACAGTGCTTAGGTGTTATTTCTCTGTCTCTTCTCCAAGGAAATACATGCTGAATTAAGTTTTGTGTTTTTGTTCACGCTCAGCAGCACCATTGAAAGCCAGGATTTCACCAGCTGTGTCGTGGCAGCAATTGCAGGAGGAGAGGAACAGAATAAGTTCTGCCAGTGCAATTTGCATTCGCGCGTAGGAGAGCATTGGTCCCTGGGAGAGGACGTGGGCTGCTTTGGATTTTCAGGCAGTGTGACAGCCCTTGGAGAGAAATGCTTCCTAACAGGCCTTCTTCTGTCCTCCCAGGCCTGGGCTGATGCCTTTCGAAGCAGTCCTGACCTCACTGGGGTTGTGCACATATACGAGGAGCTGAAGAGGAAAGGGGTTGAATTCCCCATGGCAGACTTGGACGCCCTGTCTCCTATACACACTCCACAGCGGGTAAGCTTCCAGCTGGTACTTTCTAGGGAGACCTACTGCAGAACAGGCGAGCCAGGCCGCTGCCACCACCCTTCTGCTGCTCCCTTTGAATTATTCAGCCTGTCATCATGCTTTCTTAAAGCTCGAGGGCATTCCTTTTTAATAACAAGGGGAATACAGGAGTGAGACAGCTGGTTGACTGGTGATTAAGTGGCGGCAGTGTGTCCCCCCACCCCCACTTTCCCCTGTTTCTACCCTGACTGGGGAAGAACATAATAGCGGGATCAGTTCAGAGTTTTCACGGAAATGGCTGCTTGGGCGGAGCCGTCCTGTGGGGGTCATTAGCACCTGCTTTTCAGAGGCCCATACAATCAGGTTTGGGAATCCTGTCTTCATTCCCCTAGAATTCCCCACCAGAACACCTCAGAGCAATGTAGAGGGGTTGACAACACTAACGGGGCAAAGAGCAGCTTTCTGGTTTTTCAATGGGGTGCAAGTCAAATGGATCTAAAATTTATTTTGAGCTATGAGCATTCAGCATCAATCCACACATCCTTGGATTCCATCAGCCTTGGGATTCAAAGCCCAGGAAAGGCCCATTTAGTGGCATCTGCTGAAGCTCTTGCAGTGCCAACAGTAACTCAAGGGCTGTGGATGGCGCAGCTCTGTGCTTCAGGATTAAAAGCTTGTGGGCCGTGCCATTCACAGTGTTGCTGGGAAACTAGTGGCTGGGAATCAGCTCCATTCCCAGCCTGGGGGGAGAAGCAGGAAAGCTCCAAGATGTGGAAGAGGCACCTCGTCCCAGTACCCTTCATTGCCAGCCCCCACTGCCCATCTCTGAAATGTGGGCCTCAAGAAGGACCACGTGTCTGTACATGTCTCTTGTGGGGACACGTGAGTCAATGTTCTAGAGGTTATCTGAGATGCCAAAGGGAAAGCACAAGGAGTTGCACTTTACAAAGCATTATTCTCATCATGATCCTTCCAAACCATGTACTATGCTTTGTGAAATAAACATAACCTGTTTTATTCTTCTAATAATGACACAGAGCGGTGTTGCTGTTCCTATAATTACAAAGAACATTTGGTAAATTGCATAATAACTATTTATATTAGTCTACTTGTAAAGGCCAAAATGTAATTTTATGGTACCAAATAAGGATTCATGATTAGCAAAACCTAATAACAGCCCTCCCTTCACTCGGATCCTGAGGTGGTCTTAACAGTGGGAACCATGACCAGAGCACTCACAGAGCGCTCTTGGCCTGGCCTGCTGGAGTTGCTTTGGTTGTCTGCCACACACCTGTTGTGAGGTAAGTAGACGGAAGAGCCGTTGGTAGCCTCACTTCCCAGATGGAGAGACTGGGCTCAGCGGGGCTCCGTGAGCCTCCCCAAGGCAGTAGCAGGGCTGGGCCTCCACCATCTCCCCAGGCAGCTCTGACGGGAAGTGCTGCACAGGGTGGGGTAGGTGCCAGGCCCAGCTTGCAGGCAGCTCAGGTGAACAGAGGACTTTGTTGTTGCTGTGCCAGAGCGTCCCTGAAGTGGATCCAGCCGTGACCATGCCCAGGTCCCAGTCACAGCAGAAGACAAGTGCCGGCTCCTATTCCTCGCAGCCTCCTGCTCCCTACTCCGCTCCGCAGGCCCCGGCTCTCAGCGTGACTGGCCCCATCACGGCCAATTCAGAACAGGTACTTGCATGCTTCCCGGCCATAGGCAAGTCAGCTGACCATCCTCATTCATCTTCCCAGGAGATGCAGATGGAGGCCTTCCCAAGGCAGGCACTGTGCTAGGTGTTGGGGACACAGAGATGGAAGGGCCCAGTCCCTGGGGGAGACAGATGCCAAGATAGTCACAACCGAGTGTGGTCATGCTATGGTGGGGAGCAGAGCCGAGCGCTCAGTGTCGCGAGCCCTGGGTTGAGCAATGCCTGGGACGGCACCCAGGGAGCTGACACGCCGAGGGTCCTGAAACAGGTGAGGCCTCACGCACGGCAGCGGCATGGGCACGGCAGAGGCGCAGGGCTCTCTCAGGGAGAAGCAGGTGGCTTGACTGGAGAGCAGGTGTATACGGAGGGCCGAGGTCAGTTAGGAAATAGTGGCAGAAAGTGAGGCCAAAAGCATAGGAGTGCACTGAGTTGCGAACAGGCTTGTCTGTCATGCAGAGGCTTAGATTTGTCCTGTAAGAAATGTCAGCTGTCAGAGGCCAGGGACCCAATCGGCGAAGCACCTGTGGAGGCAGAGGCTAAACTCAGGGAGGCCTTCCTGAAGCGCACTTCCACTTTCGTTCCAAACGTTGCCCACCTGCCCTCGATTCCTTCCTGATAAGCTAATGCAGTTTTAACCCCAAACTGGGTTTTTCAGATGGACTGTGGACACTGTTCTTTAGATGAACCTATAGAATTCCCTTTAGTTAAAATTTGAGAATTGGTCAGACTTGAAAAAAACTCTATCCAATGCTTATATTTTCAAAATCCTTATTTACTATTTGTGACAATGGCACGATTATAGAAGCTCATGCGATTGTATGTGGCTGATGGCAGTGTTGTGTCAGGGCTGCGTCCTTTTCCCCTCTCTGCTAGTGGTGTGGGCAGAAGTGAACTCGAAGTTGCACAGGCCTGGCCATGAGCCCCGACCCTGCTACTAACTGTGAGGCTTCGGTTGGGGCGTTTAACCTCAGTGTCCTGTCAATGAACAGGTGATCCTTCCCTCCTACCCCACAGGGCAGCCATAGGCTTGACAGGCAGATAGGAGGGGTCCTCGTGCTAGCCACCCAAGCGCTGTGTGTGCTTCTGGGGGAGGAGGTCCAAACCCACAGCTGACACGTGGGGTTTGCGCTGTGGCCTGGTTCACTGATCTCTTCCCTTCCTCGTTACCCACAACGGCCAAAAAGGGGAACTATGGGGAAGAAGGTCTTTTAGGGGCTGCACTGTTCCCTTTCTGCTCTGAGGGAAGGCAGAAAGTGTTCAAAGTTGGACAGTTGCTGGGCAGCGGGTGCTCGGGAATGGCCCTCCCAGTGGCCAGAACGGTCGAGAGGAGAATGTGGAATGGGTGAGGAGATGCAGTGGTGCAGGATGCCCTTGTTCCCAGGGGAGGATGGAAGCAGAGGCAGACAGGTAGGCACGCAGCCTGGCCAAGCAGCCCTAAGGCTTTAGAGCCCACGTGGTCACTAGCTGTAGCATTCCTGGGCCTCCCTAGCCAGAAACTTCTTTTTATCCAAGACTTTGGAGGAGACCCCTGGGCCATCCACCAGGCAGAGCCTCTTGGGACCTAGACCATCTCCCTGGCTGACTGATTGAGGTCCCTGTGCTGAGGGTACAGAACTGAACCCAGCAGAGTTCCTGCCCTGACGAGCTCCAGGTCTGTTGAGGGAGCCCACCAGCACAGGACAGGCGGCTGTGGCTGCTGCAGCGTAAGGCCGTACATTGCGTGGGGGCCGGAGGGAGGAGGTGGGAGTGGTCACATCGACCTCAGGATGGCTGGGGAGAGTCAGAGAAGGCTTCACTGAGGAGAAGATGTGCTGCTTTAGCTGGAGCACAGTGCAGGAAGAGTGACATCACAATTCTGTTCTCTGGACGTTGGAGCAGGAACAAGGCCGTACATGTATAGTAGAGGGCAGACGTGTGTGCCAGGCCCTGTGTGGGCATTCACAGCAGCCCTGTGAGGTATGGTTTATTGCCACCTTTCCACAGGTGAGGAAACTGCAGCTCAGAGAGAGATCCAGGTTCATCTCTGGATGCAGCTGCTACTATAGAGGCCCCAGAGAGCCTCAGGGTGCTCGATGAGTCTTCTCAGGGCTCTTCCAGTGTCATGGGGCAGTTCTTGACACCTGCCCAGCATGTATTGGTCTCCCATCATTGAGTGATAGGACAAATGGGCATTGCTATGCAGATTCTTCTTGGTGCCTCACTGTGTGCAAGGCAGGTCCCTGTGGTTTCTGCGGATGCCTCAGGGGGTTTGCGAGAGTGGAGGAGCTGATCTGAACCACCAGGCTGGAGACCGAGTGGAGAAGGTATCCCTGATGCAGGAGGGGAGGCTCAGGCCTTGGCCCAGCTCCTGGCTTTGAGGAGCACCAGTGGATGGGCAGGTGGGGTATTTTTCAAGGGGTCATGTTACCAGGTAGGGAGCTGGGTAGAGATGGGGTCTCTGCTGTGGTCTTCTCTTGCTCTCCCTCTCTCATTCTTGCCATATCAGAAAAGTACTGTTGACATTGGCCAGCCTCTTAGAGGATCATAGTATTTGGATGATAAAATTCCTAGGGGCAGAGTCTGTAACTCTGAGGTTTGTAGAATAGGATCTCAGCCCTAAGGGATCTCAGCCATGCTGCCCTCCCACACTTGGATTTTAAAAAGCAGGAACGGAGGCCCCGAGAGGTTAAGTTCCTGCTCAAGGTGCTGTGGTGGGGGGCCAAGATGGAGCTCCGACTCGGTGCGCTGCTGACCTGGCGTCTTTGCTGCACAGTGCCGCCTCAGTGTCACGGGCAGAGAGGCACCATGACAGACTTGTGGCCACTGGCCTGGCAGACAGGCTGGAGAGAGATAAGGCGGGCTGTATAGTGCACACTCAGAAGGGTGGCCTAGATTTCCCAGTGAGGGGACTGTCACCAGCCTGGGGAGCAAGCTGGTTCTGATATTCTAGGTGCAGGCTGACTGACTTTCCTTCCTGCTTTCCTTTCCCGGGCCCCAACAGATTGCCAGGCTGCGGAGTGAACTGGACGTTGTTCGAGGAAACACTAAGGTCATGTCTGAGATGTTAACAGAAATGGTCCCCGGACAGGAGGACTCGTCTGATCTGGAGTTGCTGCAGGTGAGGAGAGACTCATCTTCGGAAGTGCAGGGCCTGGAGGCAGGCCCCACTCGGGGACACAGTGTGAGGAAGGATGGGCCCAGTGGCCTTGTTATAGACAGGGCCTGAGTCCATGTGGGCCCACACTCAGCCTCATGTTGCCTAGGGACAGGTAGAAGCCGTTATCCCCATCACTCTCAGAGGCAGTGACCTGGAGGGTGGAGAAAGTGTACTGTGAACGCAGGTGGCCAATCTTTTCGCTGTGGGGTGAGGTGCTTGAGTGCATAGGTCAGGAGCCAGACTGGCTCGGCGACCTGGTGCGAGTGTGGTTACTTGGCGTGAGTGCCTTGTGACGTGCCTGCTGCTGCTGCTATTTTGTCCAGCTCTTGTCAGTGCTGGCCCCGAGTGCTACACCTCCCCCCTTTCTCCTGGCACACACTTGCTGCCTGTGAAGGCCCTGCCCTGTGGAGTACACATGCCTGGAGTGGCTCGGCCTGTCCCAAGCTGCGTCTTGTAGTGCCTCCTTCCTACTCCTGTGGGGCTGAGGGTGGGTGGAGACCCGCTCTGGTGCCTGTGAGCTGTGGGCCCTGCTCTGGAGGACCTCGGCTTTATGCGGGAGACAGACTGGGAAACAGCTCATCTCCATGTCACTGCCTCAGGCTGCTCCTGAAGCCGAGATGAGCACCCTTGGCCCAGCCCCAGTGAGGAGCGCCAAGTGGGCTCTCCCTCGCTCCCAGACCTCACTCCTGACACCTGCATAAGACTGGGCTTGCCTCAGCTCAGCAGGTCCGGCTGAACATGCGCCACACTCCATGGGCCCCAGCCTCCCTTCAGTGCATTGTCATTGGCCTCCGTTCCCAGCTGCGGGAGGGCTCTGCCAGGCATTAGCCAGATGCACAGGAATCTGAGGTCAGTCCAGAAACTGAGAGGGCCTCTTGAGGCAGCTTTGTGCTGTGTCAGCGTCGGAATTCCTGCTGACAGGGGGGTTTGCTCTGGACAGAGCTGAGCTCCTGGCAGCAGGGGATGTGTTGAACAAAGCCAAGATGCTTCCAGACAGCCAGAGCAGACCCAGACAGCAGGAATACTCCACCAGCACGTGCGTGTTTGTGTTGTGTGTGTGTGTGTGTGTGTGTGTGTGTGTGTGTGTGACTGCGAGGTTTTTTTTTTTTTTGGTTTTTTTTTTTTTTTTTTTTTTTTTAAAGAAGCCCATCAGCCAAGACAAACAGAACCTAATCTCCTGGCGTCAGCTCTTAGTTTTCAAAAATAGGTTGCTTCCCATGACGTTTTCCTTCCCTCTGTTTTGTTCCAACTCTAAGCCTACCAGCCCTCACTGCTATCTTATAAATCAAACAGAAAAAGAATGATTCTGGGTCCCCGCAGAAGGCTGTCCTTCTAGCACAGGAGATTCAGAGGCTGGGTAGCACTGTGAACAGCTGTGCACAGACACAGCTCTCCTGGCTGGTGGCTGCACACTTCAGCCATCCCTGACGTCTTCCCTCCTCTTCTTCTCCTGGCGGTTAGAAGCCAGCGGGCAGGGTCTGAGCCACACTGAACAGTGAGCCTTATGCATGGGAAAATGCCACCGCCTGCTTAGAAAGTGCTGGGATCAGAATTCTTCCCCAGGCCCCTCCGTCAAGCTGGAGGGCAGCCAGAGTGCTCAGGGCAGAAGCAGTCCAGAGCTCAGAGTGCTGGCCAGGGCCATGGAAAGAAACACATTTGTCACCAACTCAAATGTCTCCGCCAACAGACACTGCTCCCGACTTGAGTATAATAAATTGCTGGGTAGGAGGCGGAGAGAAGGGGAAGAGAGGTAATTGGTGGTGTCAGGCCTGGATGCACCGGTGTAGCTGATCATAATTGCAGGCAGGGTATATCCCAGTTGCCTCTGCGTGTCACAAAACTCTCTCAGGTGTAGCTCCCACAGCACAGCCAGCGCAGCAGGGAAGCTTGCTGGTGTGAACACTTTGCCTGCAGACTCGCAGGTAGGTGGCTGATCTTTGAGGAGAGGCTGAGGCCACTCTAGGACCCTGCGCTGTCAGCTGAGCTGGAGCCCCTGAGGGAAAGGGAGGCTGGATACCTGGAGTGAACACAGCAACTCCTCCTCTCAGGCTCTGTGTCAAATCCTTCACTCTGGGAGTTGAGAGAGACCTCTTTCTAGGCAGCTGGTCCAGCTCCACACCTGTGCTCAGATTTCCTCTACAGCATCTTATCCAGCGCCCGCCTGATCTTTCTCCATATCCCCAAGGACAGGCTGTTCACAGCAGCCCAAGGAGGTACTTCTGTTTCAAACAGACATCTCAGATTTTGGGAAGCCACACAGGAGGGTAGACAGAGCACAGGCTTATGAATCACTGGGTTCCTGTCCTTGCCTTCCCACTGATGAGCTGGGTGACACCAGGCAAGTTCCCAGCAGTCTCTGAGCCTCCCTCTTGCTCAGTCGACTGGAGCGATTACTCTCACCGTGGCAGTGCCTTGCACAGGGCTGGGCACGAGCAAGGCCTCACAAATTGCAGCTTCGTGACTATCCTTGCAAAGCCCTTTCACACATTGAGCTAAATTCTGTCTCCCTGTAACTTTGACCGTGGTCTGTCTTCTTAGACAACAGAACTAATTCCTCTTTCACATGGGTAGGTCCTTAAATATTTGAAGATTGCCATGAGCCCTGCCCACTGCCCAATCTCTACATGGAACAAATGTGGCTGTTGGCAGCCCACCATGTAGACGAAGAGGCAATTCTTCGTAAGAGGTGGACATTGTAAAATGGTGAGCTTCCATCAACTGTAAAAACACTGCTCCATCTCCTTGTGTGGCTGTTAAGCCATTTCTTCCTCATCCTGTGATGGACACTTGGGTGTGGACCTGAAATCCAAGACCCCACATCATCCCTGCTAAAGTACATGCCCTTAGCTGCTGAAAGCCTGAGTCCAGCTTTCTGGAACTTAGAGATCCTGGTTCTGCCATCCAGTGCCTTCTGTCTCTCCTAATTTAGCCTTTCAAGCTTTGTCTTCAATTAATAACTTTTAATTAACCTAATGATGCCAAAAATGTATGTGCTTTTCTTTTCTTTTCCTTTTTTTTTGAGATAGGGTCTCACTGCGGCCTCAAATAAGCAATCCTCCTTCCTCAGCTTCCTGAGTAGCTGGGACGACAGTGTGCCTGGCTAATTTTTCTGGGTTTTTTTTAGGTAGAGACAGGGTCTTTCTGTGTTGCTCAGGCTGGTCTCAAACTCCTGGCCTCAAGTGATCCTCTCACTTTGGCCTCCCAAAGTACTAGGATCATAGGCATGAGCCACCACGCTTGGCCAAAATGTATGTTCTTATACAGCCATCCATCAGATATTGTAATAAAACAAGCCCTCCTCCATGCTGTGTCTTCAAGTAACAGATGGTATATCCCCTCTTACTTCTTGGATCTTATTTCAACAAAGACAAAATGGTCAAGGCCGTTTTCTCTAGAGAAATATAGTTTTATTTTACATGTTTAGCTTCATTATTCCCCCTTTCTCATCAACAAAGACTTCTCCCTCCCTTCTTTACAGCAACAGAAAACAGATCTTCAGGACCTTATCCCATGTTCCTTCAAACTTGCAGAAGGCTCAGAGAAAACCTGTAAAGATGATTAAAAGACTGTTTTGTGAGGTGGGATGAGAATGTCCCTTGAAGAAAAGATAAAGGCATTGGGATTAATTAGACAGAAAAGAGAGGATATTGAATAAGGTGTTCTGGTAGACAGAGGCTTTTGTACAAGTGACCAGCTGTTCTCCCCTCTGCTGAGAACCAGAGATAGGGGGAGGCCAAAGCTGAAATCTTCAACATTTAGGAAATTCCTGTCCCCACTTTTGTACTGTGGGAAAGGTGACCCAGGCAATCCATAGGCTTTCAGGTGTTTTAAGCCCAGAAGAGAGTTGCTCTGTCTGGGTGGTTTGGAGGTGGACGAGGCCGAGGAAGGTTGCTCAGCTGAGCCTGCTGCGGGTCTGGCTGTGAAGACTGCACGGAGGCTGTGTGGACGGCCAGCTGTCACTGTGGTGGCAGGAATCTCAATGTCTGGCCCTCCTCTCACCTCCTGTCTCTTTTATTCTTTTTTGAGACTGTAAGTTAAAAGGCTGAAGCCAAGAGCTGGTAAAGCTGTCTCTGTGCAGAGACCTGGAGACCCCTGATGCAGAAGCCCCATCCCTGATGCAGGATCTTGAGGCCTGTCTTTGGGCATAGCTCTGTGGAAAGCCATCAGGATGCTCCTGCAGGGTTGGGGCATGGAAGGCTCTGCCTGTGGGGCTGGGGACTGTCCCACCCGGCACCCCAGCAGAAAGGCAGTGGGAAGACAGGCAGCAAATGCAAGGAAAAGCAGATGTTTCTGGTGCTCAGAGTTGATGAGATCACTGCTTCCTATGCCCTTGGGTCTCATTCTGCCTCCAAGCCCAGATCACATCCGCTAATACTTTCTAGATATTTTTTGAAAGTAACAGAATCCTTTCCACTACAAATAAAACTCTACAGTGAATGGCGATGGTTTAAAAGAGATAAGAGCAGAGCTGCCCTGGCTCCCTCTGGGGGCAGAGGGACCTGACCCCGTGCCATGGAGGCTGCGGAGGAGGCTCTGCTAGCAGTCTGCGGAAATTCGTCACCCACCCCCTCACTTTGCACAGGGAGAAGCAGGCCCCGAGAGTGGTGGAGACTTGCAGAGCGTATCCAGCCATGGGCCACTGGCTCCTCAGCAGCCAGCTGGGGCCTGTGCGCTGTGGGGAGACGGAGGTCAGCCCCTCTCTCTCCCACTCGGTGCTTCCTGTGCTGGATATTTTCAAACATACAGCAAAGTAGAAAGAATTTTACAGTGGATATTGCATATTTACCACCTAGATTCTACCATTAATGTTTTATAGAGTGAGACCTGTCTCAATAAAAAAATAATAAAAGTTAACCTAAATCCATGCTCCCTTGTCAGCCCTAAGTAGATGCTCACTGTGCTTTAATGATGTGTGAGAAATACTATGATTATTTTACGTCATTCACTTCAGTCCTGGCTGTTGGGATCCTTCACATGATCTAACGTGATCGCTTCTTTCATTAAGTTTGCATATTTTTATTTTGTTTTAATGTTGAGGGCCTGGCCTACCTTTTAGTGTCACTCGTGGGTACCCTTCATTTCTGTAATTAGGGTTTCCACTGTGTTGTTGGTTTTCCTGTGCACTGTCATTGCCCAGTGACTGGGTTTGACTTGCAGCAGTCCACTGCGCCTGTGGCAGTTACTGTGTGGCAATCTGTCACTGACGGAGGCCCGGCCAGGCTTCGAGGCCCAGGCCAGTTCTTGAGTGCCCCTCTCCTGGCTGGCTGTGGGATGTGAGCTACTTGAAGTAGAATAGAAGGGGCATTTTGTACTTTACTCTTCACTGGATATCAGTGTCCTCTGCGATTAATTTCCAGTGTTCACCTCTTGTTGTCAACCCCAGCACTCGCCTGTGTGTTTGTAAATGCTTACTGCTGCTTCAGTGAGGCCGGGGGTGAGTCCTAGAGAGGGAAAACTGATTCCATATGAATAAGAATTCCCCATTCTCTGAAGGAAGGGTACTGGGAAGAAGGCTGCATTTATGTGGGTAACAGAGAGGACAGTGATGGGGAGCTGATGGTTTGGAGAGATCAAGGGTCAAGGTGCCTTAGGGTCAAGGTTCCCATGGCCAGCTGAGTGGAAACCCCAGCTTGACTGCCTTGGACACCTCCTTCCACCTCCAGCCCCAGCCACCTTCTCCCCGCTGTCCCTTTCTGCATCTCTCTGCTGGTGGGAATGTTACCTGGCTGGGCTGCTATGACCTGAGCTAGTTCCTGGGAGCCATTGTCACCTAAAGCACCTCATTGTTGGGGATGGGGAGAGAGAGAGAGATTGAGATTGTGTCGGGTGATTTGCTCAAAGCCTCCTACTCCTAGGGATAACCCTGCCTTCTCCAAAACCTAGGATTGCAGTCTTAGGAAAACCAAGAATGGGAGTCTGTTCAGAGAGAAATCTGTAGGTCCAGACACTAGGCTTGCTTCCCCATTGACCAAGAGAGACTCACAGCCCCATTCTGGCTGTGCAGAGGACTAGAGCCAGGTAGAACCAAGACAAAGGGCAGCGTTGCCATGGCCGGATAGACAGGGCCCACCAAGGTAAGCCAGAGTCTCCAAAGGAAGCATTTTTCTTAAGGTGAACTCTAGACTTTTGTGTATCCAGCTGCCTAAATCTAGGTCTCCTCTGTCCTGACAAATACAGCTGTCTTCACCCTCAGGGAGGAAGCCCTTGGGTCCTGAGCAGCCGTGGGAAGAGAGACAGCAGAAGCAGACTGTGTAGTCCGTGAGGGCTGATCTGCTCTGTGATGAGCAGGTGTGTCAAGGTGCCTACCTTGCTGCTACCTGCAGTATCAGGCCTGGGACACACAGGGCCCTTCGGCAGTGTATGTGAGGGAACACTACCTGACACCTTGGGCTGTGTGTGCATGGAAGGAATGCACTTGCCTTCGTGAATTAATTCTCTCCAGAGCCCTTGGGGAGTGCCTCCTGAGTGTCGGCTGCAGTACTAGGGGAGCAGGGAAGAGAGGCCTTCTCTTTCCTCGAGCAGCTTCAGTCTACAGGGAAAGGCAGATAAGGAGCCACCCCCACGTGTGAGTGCTGTGTCTCGGGGTGCAGGGAGTATGTGGAAGGGGCGCCTTTGATTCCCTACTTTGCTTGTTTGACCACCTTGGTGTTGTGATTCAACAGATGATTGCTGAGCTTGTTCACTGCGTGTGGCTTAGCGCAGGACTTAAGGGCATCTGTGGGTGGGTAGATAGATGACAACAGCCCCTTCAAGGAGTTTATGTCCTGGTAGGAGGGAAAACCTTTGAGTCAAGCTAGCCAGATTATGAGACAAGATGCAGAGCTAAACAGAGATTGCCTGTCTCTGCTATGAATAGATCAGTTATTTCTACCAGAAATTATTTCAAAATGAGGTGGTTTTACAGCCAAACTATGAGAAGGAGGGACTTCTCCTTCATGCCTCGTCTCCTTACCTCATGGGCTCATCTGTTCCCTCCAGTGCCCAGGAGGGTGAGTATAGCATCTCATCTCTGCTTTAACCCTGTATGGCCCATGGGGGCCTGGAGCTTTGGTCACAGGCAGTTCCTGTGGTCACGGATGCTGAGGGGCCAGCCTGGCAGGGTTGCCAGCTCCCTCCTCTGTAGTGTCCTCAATCTGGTGTACAAGATGGCAAGGAGCCTGGCAGGTATTTGAGGGAGTTCCACAAGCAAGTTTAAACAAGAGCACTGGTGGGGCTGCCGTTCTAGAGCAGGAAAGGCTCGTGGAAGCCAGGCCATAGTGTGCTAAAGCTCTGTCTTCAGGGGTACATTTCTTCCCAGGGTAGAGAGGGTTCCAGTGGTGACTGGGAATGTGTGAGTGTCATCTTTGGCCTGCCAGGTGGCTGTGTGGGAGCTTGCTGAGCTTCTGAGACCTCAGCAGGGTGGCAGACAAGCCACCAAAATATACTTTATACAGTCATAAAATACACTCATGCTGTTGCTGGAAATAAACTGATATTATCTTTTTGGAGGCCTTTTACTATTACCAATCAATATTCTAAGTGACCATACCTTTTCATCCAGAAATTCTACTTCTAAGGAACCTGTGCTATGGAAGTGCTGGCCCAAGTGTGTAAGCATGTATGTGTACAAATGTTCATGGCTGCATTATTTGGGTTGGCCAAAAAAAGACCACAGAGTAAATGCCCAGCAACAATGGAAGAATGGTGAGACACATTATGATACACACACAAAGGAATGGGGCAATCTGTACAAAGTGATGGGAAGAGGTATCTGGAATATTTTATTGAAGAGAAAAAGCAAACTACAGAGAATCACATTTTAAAATTTTAAATGATTTATGTAAACATGTGCTATATACATACAACAGTGTGGCTCTGTGGACGTTTGTCTGTCTATCGAAAGAGTACTCGTTTCCTCTGGGGCGGGAGGGGCAGACGGTGCGGCAGGACCTTCTATTTGGTATTCTACACACGTCTGGTATTATGAAGATGCATATACTCCTTTTGTGACTTTTAAGAATCAATACAAATTTTTTTCAAAGGCAATAGAATGTGACAAAAAGCATACCCAGCAGGCTATCCAGAGGCATGTGTGTTCCCTAGGAGCTGAACAGGACCTGCCGGGCCATGCAGCAGCGCATCGTGGAGCTCATCTCCCGCGTGTCCAACGAGGAGGTCACAGAGGAGTTGCTGCACGTCAACGATGACCTCAACAACGTCTTCCTCCGATATGAGAGGTAGGAGCCAGATTCCTTTTTTTCATTGTTGCCATAATGGGGGATTTCTTTCATAAACAAAAGAGAGAGAGAGAGAGAGAGATTAGAGTTGGAAAATACTCATCAGAGATGCTAATTTGTTCCTGGCTGACAGGGAAAATGCTGCTTGTTCTCCTGGGAGCAGAGAGCAGAAGCAGCAGGAAGTTGACGCGCAGAATCAGGCTCTGCCCTCTGTGAGCCTCAGGCTGCCCTGCCTCTCCCCACCACCCTGGCCGGGGGAGGAGTAGGACTGGGGGCGTCTGGGCCCCAGAGCTTCTGCACCTGCTCCTTTGATGATCCTTTGAATTTGAAAAGGATTAAAGGGGAAAAAATCTCTACTAAGAAAAAGGATCTCCCCTTTCCCATCTTTAAAAAAAGAAAAAAGCTTTTCCTTTTGCAAATGTCAGTGTCATCTAGAGTGTTGAGGGGAAGCAGGCAGGGTGTAAGTGCCAGAATGCTGCTGCTTAGGGCAGCACGCACACATGCATTTCAGTTCTTTCTGCAGCCAAATCATTTGGGGGGTTCAGGTAACAAACTTGCAATTTTTTTTTCCATTTCCAAAGCCAAATTCCAAAATGTCTTATTTAGACCTAGTTTTAAATAGGAAGTATAATGGCAAACACAGTTCCCATCTCATCACCCTGATGGGTACATCTTGGGCTTTCTTGAATGACCCAGTGTCAGGACCAGAAAGGACCTTGACCAGCCCGACCTTCTCCCCTTAAAGCTGAGGGCCGAGAGGGTGGGACAGTGGCCGGAGTCTCTTGCAGACTAGAGGTCCTGGCCCCCTCTGCCAGCAGCTGACTCAAGCTTGCAGTGCGGATTAGTCAGGAGGACAAGGATCTGGCATCAGTTAGAGTCAGTGGGATGGATATTTGCATTCGCACTGCCCTTTGGGGTCTTAAGGGTGACTCTGTTGTTGTTTCATAACCCGGGCTTTGTCTCAGCTTTTGACCATGGAAGTAGAGCTGGGTCAAATGGGAACTGCCTGTGCCCATCTGACAAGTGAGGAAACCTCTGCAGTGAGAGTGTGGGACCCCAGGAGCCCTCGGGTGTCAGTTGGAGAATAGGAGTGATCTGAGGGGCCTCGACTGCTACCCCGAAGCCCCTTTGTCTTGCCATGTGGTTCCAATTTTTCCATGTTAAGTAGCTTGGGGTTTAACCTGTTAAACCCATTTAAGTCCCTGCTAGAATAGGATAACAGGAGCTAGCTAATGTGGGCATTTTCACCCACGAGTCTGCCAGTCCTAGCATTACAAAGAATTCAGAGGCAAAGCCTAGGGTCCGTGTCCCATAGGGACTATCCTGGTTAGAGTGCCTTTGATAAGACTAATTCTTCCTCTGAGAGAGTGTGGAGAAGGTGCCACAGGATTAAATTTTTTCAGGTGTATTAATATTCCCATTATCCTTATAGACCACTGTTACAAAAAACCACATAAGTCTTTCTTTTTTTTTTTTTTTTCTGTTGAGACAGAGTCTTGCTCTGTTGCCCAGGCTAGAGTGCTGCAGTGTCAGCCTAGCTCATAGCAACACCAAACTCCTGGGCTCAAGCAATCCTCCTGCCTCAGCCTCCCAAGTAGCTGGGACTACAGGCATGCACCACCATGCCCAGCTAAATTTTTCTATTTTTGGTTGCCCGGCTAATTTCTTTCTATTTTTAGTAGAGACAGGGTCTCGCTCTTGCTTAGGCTGGTCTCGAATTCCTGGCCTCAAGCAATCCTCCCATCTCAGCCTCCCAGAGTGCTAGGATTGCAGGCGTGAGCCAACATGCCTGGCCAACATAGTCTTTCCTTTTTTTTGAGACAGAGTCTCACTGTGTTGCCCGGGCTAGAGTGCCGTGGCATCAGCCTAGCTCACAGCAACCTCAAACTCTTGGGCTCAAGCGATCCTCCTGCCTCAGCCTCCCGAGTAGCTGGGACTACAGGCATGCGCCACCATGCCCGGCTAATTTTTTCTATGTATTTTTAGTTGGCAAATAAATTCCTTCCAATTTTTAGTAGAGACAGGGTCTCGCTCTTGCTCAGGCTGGTTCGAACTCCTGAGCTCAAACAATCTGCCCGCCTCGGCCTCCCAGAGAGCTAGGATTACAGGCGTGAGCCACCGCGCCCGGCCCGACATAGTCTTTCTTAAAGCCACAGTGGACACTCACTGCCTAACCAGATTGCTCCTCCTGGGGATCCCTTGTCACCAGATGTTGGCCCCAGCAAGTTGAGAGACAAATGTGGAGCAGTGTACCTCACTGAAGCCCAGTTTCTTCGGCTCCAGATGGAAAAGTCTCTTGGCTACCTCTTTGCCCATGGTGTTTTAGAGCTTCGAAATATGATGCAGAACATGGTGTGTTCTCCCCTAGCCCCACACACACCTCATAACTGCTCTTCCGTTCCCCACCTGGTGTGAGGATGACTTGGGTATGTGAGAGGGGAGGCCTTCCACAGCTGTTCAAACTCAAGTCCTGTCTGTACCATCACTGGGTGCAGAGGAGACCCCCTGGCAGACCTGCCTTGCCCTGCCCTGCCAGCAGCCCCTCCATGGTTGGCCCAGACCTCCCCACAGCTACTGGCCATTTTACCAGGCCATCTTCCTCTTCTTGGTACCTGCCCCATGCACACCCTACTCCCTTTCCCCCAGAGGTTGAATTGGAGGCATTTTAGCAACACTAGCAAATTGCTCCCCAGTACAGCTCTGTGAAATAGGGAGGGGTCTACGGTTATTGCCTGGACACTTGAGACGCCCGAGGTAAAGCGGCTGACCCACACTCCCTCCAGGGGCGAGAGGAGCACCCTGGATCCGGGTGTGTGAAGCGACCCTGGGGTGCTCATAGGCACCTCCTCGATGGGCCAGCCACCACCCTTCCCTGATGCTGACTCAGGGTGCCGTGTGACAGGCTGATCCTCTCCGGGGGGAGCCCCACGCAGAGGAGAGTGTGGCAAAGTTGTGTGTGTCTGGGTCTATTCCCCCAGCCCTTAAATGGGATTAGCTGGTCTTGGTCCCAGGGACTCTGCACGGAACCAGTGAGCACCCACTGGCCTGTCCCGGCATCCTCTCTCCTCACTTCTGCTTTCTCTTTCTTTGGCAGGTTTGAACGGTACAGGTCGGGCCGATCAGTTCAAAATGCCAGTAATGGGGTAAGTATTCCTTTAGAATTCTCTCATCTCCTGAGGCTGGGCCCACCCCTCCACGTTCTAGAGGCTGGGGAGACCAGCTTTGGGTTGGCCTTGCCTCTAGTTTTTCTCACTGGGGTTAAAATATTTAGGTAACTGAAGAGCAAGCTCTGGTTGATGGGGTGTTGGGAAAGAGCTAGCAGGCATCCCTGATGGGAAGGTGACAAGGAAGCTCCCAAGGACAGTCACTGTCCTGGTGACTCAGTGCTGCCTCCTTCAAGTGGGGACAGGGAGGAGGCTCACTGACAGCAGGGGCACACCACGGACCCTGAAGGCAGGTGAGAGAAAGGGCGTTGCTTCTGGACTGGTGCAGCCCAACGCTTTTCTTCTCAGACCCCTGCACAGTTGCCTGCTGGCTTTCAGCTTGGAGCCCGACACAAGGGCTCTGGGGCTCACTGCCAGTCTCGTGTTCTGACAGGTACTGAATGAAGTGACTGAAGACAACTTAATAGACCTGGGGCCAGGGTCTCCAGCTGTGGTGAGCCCGATGGTGGGGAACACAGCACCCCCATCTTCCCTCTCCTCCCAGCTTGCAGGCTTGGGTGAGTATCGCGTAGCGGCGTGAAGGGCTCCCTACCACTGGCTTCCTTTCTAGGCCACTTCTCTCTCTTCTTGGAAGGCCCAAAGAGAGCCTTTTGGGGAATCCATGTGAAAGTGTATTCCTGAGTCCTGGCCAATTGTACCACCTTCAATTTGTAATTTCTTTCCTAAATTTGGTGTTTAAACCTGTATTGAGAAGCAGGGGTGGAGGAAGTTCCAAGGAATTGGAAGTTGTTTGCTCTCTAAAGAAAGGTAGTCTATTGTGTTTTATCTGGAACATTCCCTGTGGTTGAAGTGATTTCCTTTTCAATGTTAACTAGGTCAAGGATGGCAAATAGGTTTCATTCAGCTCATTGGCTGCTTGGAACACAGGTTTGAGGAAGATGCCACAGCTACATCAGGGCTTAGAAGAGTCTGTGATTGATTGGCAATGTCTGCAGTGGGCTTGGAAATAGGAAGTGGTGGCATTGACCCTTCTGTTCTCCTTGAACTATACCATCAGCTAAAGTGTTCCATTGTCTGGAACTTAAACAAAAGAAATTCACCACTTTTCTGCAGTGCATTCAGTTTGAAAGTGTGTATATGACTCTAGGTGCTTCAGTTATGCTGGATGATACCAATTTATAATAAAATTATAGTAGTAAAATAATTAATAAGCATGGCTCTCAAAATTCGTTCCTCTGCCTTGTTCTTTTCTTTTCCCTTTTTCTCAATATTTCTCTGTCTACCTTCATTTCCTTTGAATTGAAGTTAGCTTTTATTTAATGGCCTGTCTGTTGCTGTAATTCTAGCTTCTCAGTATCACGTGTATCTGTAGCCACTATTTCTCTGTTGGAACAGATTTCTCTGCCTTCAGTCTATCCAGCTTATATGCTCACCAGATTTAATACAAAGACTTCAAATTAGATCCTGCTACCTCCCTTCTTAAAAAATGTGTAGCATTCCACCATCCACTGCTTTACTTAGCCTTGGAGGCTTCATCAGCCACCTCCTCCTCTCCTGTGAGCACTGTTCACACACCCTGACCTTCCAGACCTGTGCCTTTGTTCCTGCCTTTTCCCCTTCTCCCCAGCATGCTCTCAGTCATCCTCGAAGACTCACTGTGCTGGTTTTATGTCTTTCCCCATGTCTCAAGCCCAGCACTGCTGTTATCTGTCTGTCTCCTGCCTACTCAGGGAGATTCTTAAGGCCAAGGACATGTCAGATTCAATTTTATCCACTTGAATTCTAGCTCTGAGCATGGTGGGTGCCTAAGAAATATTTACTACATGAACAAATTACCCAGGTCCTTGGACACTGTGGTTGAGTTAATGAGGGGCCCACCTTAGAAGGGCATTATGGAAAATATGCAGGTGCACTGGCCCGGGTCCTAGCCTTCTCACCATCAGCAATCTCCTTTTCATTGTGATGACTCTTTCCTCTCCTTGAGTAGCTTGGCAGGCAGTGGCTATTCTGTCCCCCATCTGGGCCCTGCTCTGGCTGTTCCTGCATGTGGTGCATTGGGAGTGCCTAGGAAAGTCCTGCCCCCACCCCATAGGACCTGAACCTGCCCAGCTGGTATCCTAGCTTGGGGGCCCTCCATCAAATCCACAATCCACATTTGGTTCTCATCTGCCCCTGTTTGTTTTGTTGCCACAGACTTGGGGACAGAGAGCGTCAGTGGCACCCTCAGTTCACTCCAGCGGTGTAATCCCCATGATGGCTTTGACATGTTTGCCCAGACAAGAGGGAACTCTTTGGCTGAGCAGCGCAAGACGTAAGTGGGGCCCCTTCCCCACTTTAGAGATTGAGGAGATTGACCCAGGTTTGATCACAGGCCAGTACAAGAAGGCCTTTGATTTACCAGGTCCAGGACTGCCAGGAACTGTGAAGTACAGCTGTGAGGGCTTGGCTTTAGATGCAGGTGTTGAATGAACGCCAAGCCCCCCCCCCCACACATACACATACACACCCACTCTCTCTCTCCCCCTCCCTCTGCCCTTGAGATTGCAGTGCGATTTCTATCAGTGTTACAGGAGGTGACTCTTCTCTTCCCTTTCCTCCCCATGCTACTGCTGCAGACTCCAGCTTGCCCAGCCCCTCATCCACAGGAGGAGCTCAGAAGCAGGAGGGTGCAGCAAGGCAGGGACCGAACTGGGTTCCCAGCAGCAAGATTTTCCTGCCTAAAAAAGTGGTCAGGGCAGAGGCTTCTCTCACAGCAGCTCTGGCAAGGATGAACCATATGGAACTAGGGGAGTTGATTCCAAAGTAGACAACCCCCGGCATCTCAGGGAGGCACTGTACATGCTTTGCACTTTCTGTTCAGCTTAGAGGTGGGTGAGCAACACTTTTCCCCACCTTTCCCACGAACCCAGCATCTTGGTGCATACAGCTCCCTGAGTCCTGCTCAGGACTCAACATGATGACCAGAAGCCTACGGCCCCACGCACTCTTCACCAGCAGAAGTGGTTTGTAAAATGGATGCAGCTGTTTTACAGGGTCAGGGAGTGGAGGGAGACACCCCCCAAAATCAGTGACCATGCTGGTCCCAGAGACTACCTTCCTTGTCAAATGCTGCTGAGGCTGCTGCTTATAAAATAAGAATTAGTTACTTTGCTTTTGTCTAGCTGTCCTTCTGAGGGGTTTCAGGGCACTTTTGACATCCTGTCATTGAGCTTCAGAGATACCCCAGTATTGTTACTCAAGAGAGGGACGTTGAGGTGCATAATATCCCAGATCCCAGAGGAGATGAGTGGCTGAACCTGAGCTGGGACCTAGGTCTCCTAGCTTCAGCTGCAGGGAGACAGGCAGCATGAGCCCTTAGCCTTTGCCCAATGCCAAGGTCACAGGAAACGGTTTTCCAAGGACATCTGAGGAAGGTGCCATGGGATAGAAAGTGATTATAGGCCACTGCCCTGGCCCCCCATGAGCGCTGGGGGACAACTCACTCTGCTTGTACTGCTTTGTCCCCAGGGTGACCTATGAGGATCCCCAGGCCGCTGGAGGACTCGCTTCTGCACTAGACAGTCGAAAACAGAGCTCGGAAGGGGTAGGTCTTTAACCCTGTTTTTCTGCCTGGAGGCTTCTGGAGGGAAAGCTGGCAATGTGGCAAAGCTAGCTGGGTAATTGGGCAGCAGCTGGCTTACAGAGAGGGCAGGGACACACTGAGGAGAGACCCGTGGAGCCCCTGTGTGCTACCAGGCAGTGCCTCATTGAGTCTTCACCCCCCCCATGAGGTCACCCCCCCATGCAAGCTTTCTCATGATACACAAGAGGAAACAGGCTCGGGGAGGTGGGAGATGGGCTGAGGGGCACTCAGAGAGTAGACGGCAAGGGGGGGATACCATCCTAGGAGTATCCAACTCCAGAACCCCTTCTCTTCCTACCACAGGGCCCCAAGCTCTCAGGACACAGGTCTCCGTGGTCACCTGTTACAGTGCCCTGGGGGTGGGCAATGCTCTGACAAAACCATGACCTGCACAAGAAGGACAGTGCTGACCTGAGCCACATCTCTGGTGGTCATTTGTCACTGGCCCAGCAGAGCAGTACCAAGCCCATTAGAAGGCACTTGAGGGTCAGGGTTTGTTTGGGGAGCTGGAGCAGCTGGGTGGTGTCTGGGTAGTGTTCTGGGAAGCTCCATATCTAGATATGGAGCAAAGCCAAGGGGGAGGCACTTTGAAGTGGAGGATTGTACCTGCTTGAGCCCAAACACAGCCATGGTTTCTACAAGATTTCAGATTGCTGAAGGGGAAAGGAGTTATGTCTTAATGCTTTTCATGAGATTTTTCTCTTCTTTGTCTAACTAAGAAATGTGTGTGGAAGCAGGTCTGCTTGCAGGGCAGGGTGGAAAAGGGCCCTTGGAACAGCTGCCCACAACAAATGGAACTCCTGTCAGGTCCCCAGCTGTGCTAGAGAAGGGCAGTGCTCATCTGTCCCCTGGACAGGAAGGTTTGCAAAGGGGTGTTTGCTTCCCGAATACCAGTTTTTACCCTCCTGCAGCCCTTGTCCAAGTCGGCCCAGGCAGGCAGCAGTTCCTACCTGGCTCCCCCGCTGCTGCTGAGCCCCTCCTGCCGTTAAGGAGCAGGGTCGGGGTGGGGATGGAGCTCGCCCTTGCTTCGGCCCAGCCAACTTGATCTGAGGGCATCCGTCCCACTGTACTGGCCACCAGGGGGCACAGAAGAGCCATCCAGCTGCCTTGGGTTCTCAGCACCCTACTTTTCCAAAGAAGGGGTGGGCAGTGCCACTGGGATGCCCCAAATTATGCAGTTGTCAAGGTTCTGCTTCTCCAATTATGAGAATGTCCTCCCACCTACCCCTAGGGGAGCATTAGAGAGCTGCACTGGGGGTCTGCCAGTACATGGCCTGGTGAGGCCATCCACTCCTCCTGGCTGACCCTGGCAAGGTCTGGAAACAGCCCTGTCCCCCAGCCAGGCTGATCTTGTTTGCTCCCCCCTCTGGCTCCAGGGCCTGCCTTGTGCATGCAGGGTGTGTCCTGCTGTACTCCTGTTGTTATCAGTGTCCAGGCTTGGGTCTGAGCCCAGGAGATGTGGATGACTTTCCGCCCTTTACCCTTTGGGTGTGTGGCATGGACTGGCTCCCTATTTTCAAAGGTCTTGATGACTCCAGCAAGTTTTCCACACAGTCGTAGGCAGATTGCTTTTCATGTTTGCTGCTCAATGGGGCGATGCCATGGCTAAAGCCTCAGCGATGTGGGGTGGCAGGGCACTCGCTGGCCGTGGGTGGCAGTGTGTGGCCATGTGTGTACACACATATTCTTGCCCATGTGCAGCACTTCAGTTACCTTGTCCCATCCCAAGCCATGCTGACCTAGAAATGAAAATGGGGCCAAGGGAGAAATTAAGAACACAATAAAGAAGGGGAGAAAATTGTGTAGCCACACCTCTATAAATCAAGTCCAACCAAGTTAATCATCTTTACTTTATCATTTAAAAAAAGACAATAAAGAATATAACTAAATTCAGTGTTCAAGTTAAGAGTTTAGAAAAAGAATACATAGCCCACTAGAAAGGAGAAAAAGAAAAAATGCAGGAATAAGTTAGAAAAAAATAGAAATGATTTTGCAAAAGCTGGTGCTTTGGAAAGTTGGCCCCTGCCAATCCTGGTAGCCCTCATCGAGAGAAGCAGCCACAGTCGGCCTTCCATGGCCTCACGGAGATTTGCCAAGGGCATGAGTATGTATTGTCCTGGTGGGATTCTTGGTTACTAAACTTTGTTCTTTTTTCCAGGCAGGTAAAGGGGACGTGCCAGGGGCGGAGGTTGGGGGCAGGGGCATGAAGTTACATTTCCTTACATGACAAAGGATTAAGTCTGAACAGTGACTTTTCTGTTTCCACAATATGTGCTATTGACTTCTTTCTCATGGGTCTTGCTGTGACTTTTCTTTCTGGGACTTTTCTGTCCTCGGCCCAGAAGAGAGGTCGAGGTGGGGACTCTGACCTGGAGCCTATAGACAGCTGGCTCATAACCCAAGGAATGGTGAGGAGTCACCAGCCCAGCTGAGCCCCCTGTCTACCCAGCCCCTGTCCTGTGTTACAGTCTGCGCCTTCCTCTTGCCACCGGCTGAGCCCTCGTGAATCAGACAGTACAAGGCCGTGCTCTCTCTTTCTGACAGGGGTGCCAAATTTTTCCTCCTGTTTTTGTATAATCTCCTTAAGCCACAGACTTCTAGTCTCAGAAACACTTTCTCTGGTTTTCTGCTAAGGTCCATGCCCGTGGGCCATAAGAGTCTGGGACATTAACAGGGACCAAGGGAGGGTCTTTTCCTTCCTTTTACTGTCTCTGGGGCTCTCGGCAGTATTCACTTTTCCAGGATGAGCACAAATTACTGTGGCTTTTGCTTGGGAGGGGACAGTTCTAAGGGAACAGATTCAAAGTATCTGACCAGTCAGAAAATCCCTCCAGCCCAGTGCCTGTGGATTTGGCAGTCCTAGGCTTGATGGGTTTTTATAGTATGGTTACTTGTGTCCACTAAATCCCTCCAAAAGATTTGAGGCCTCTTAAAGAAATACACAAACATGGTAGGAACAGAATACAAAGAAGACAAAGCTGGGGAGTTCAATGTCATACATGCAATTAGTTCCCATGCAGCAGAGCTTTTCTGGCACAGAGACCTGGGAGGGTCTCTCCTGCCTTGTCTGTTCAGGTGGCCGCCGTGAGCCTGGTGCATGGAGAGAGGGTGACCTCATCCCAGGCCACATGACTTGGGGTGACCATTTCACCTATAACAGAGCCCAAAGCTCTGTGTGGTAGGGCCCGAGCTGGAGAGAATGCAGGGAAGGAAAGATGATAAAAGCAGTGGAAATGCAGGCCTCTCCCTCCAGGTGGGGTGGGGTGGGCGGTGCATAACTGCCCCCTCTGTGCCATGCCAGGCTGTGGCCGGGGGTGGGCCCAGCAGATCCCGGACTGCAGGCAGCACAGACACCACCTGCTTGAGCAAGGTGTGACCAGCGAGCAAGGACTTGGGCCAGGCAGGACTGCCCAGAACCATGGGAGTGAGAGGTGTCTGCTCTGCTCGCCACACAGCCTGGGCTGGTGCCCTCTGCACAGCCACGCTCTGAGGCGGGGCAGGTCTCTCTCCACCTGTCACTGCAGCAGCACACTCCTGATCCGGGTGAAGACAGAGTCATTCCTGGACCAGGCCCTCATTTGCTTCTTTGGGGACAGGCTGGCTCCTGGAGACCACATCCACTCCATTGTCCACATTGGGAAGATCCAGCCTGTGTGCCCTTGTGCCTATTCATCCTGCAAAAAGGATACTGCCCACACAACTGCCCTGAGTGTGGCCTTGGCAGCTGGTGGTGGTGCCTGCCTCTGCCCACACAGGCTGCCTCTTTACTGCCCTGGCCCCACATAGAGCTCCCATCTCTAATTCCCAGAAACAAACTCAACTAACAGCTAACCTGGTGTCTCGCCTGCCTGACTGCAGTTTTTTTTCTTTACAACAACGTACATTAATTGCTTTGCCTTACTTCCCATAGTGTAGACACTGCGAGTCTGTCCAAACCTCCCAAGTACAAATTCTTTACTTGGGAACTTTTTGTACTATGAGTGAGACCAAAGGTGTTCCAGGGGTGGGAACCTCCAGCCCCAAGGCCACACGTGGCCCTCCAGATCCCCAAGTGTGGCCCCTCAACTGAATCCAAACTTCACAGAACAAATCCCTTTATTAAAAGGATTTATTCCGTAAAATTTGGATTCAGTCAAAAGGTCACACTCAAGGATCCAGAAGGCCGCGTGTGGCCCCAAGGCCTCAGGTTCCCCAGCCCCGTTGGGGTGCTGGTTGAAGTGTCATGGGGGAGTCACAGCTGCTCTGGAAATAGCACACCTGAGCTGCAGAAATTGTGCTCAGTGCCTTGAAAACTGGATGGCTCGGTTTCCTTGTGGACGTGGGCCGTGGGAAGCTGCAAAGGAGCGTCCCATGGGGCCTTACTCTCCTGGGCCTTCAGGTATATGAATGTCCAACACCAAAGTTAACTAACAACACCAGGGTCATTACTAGTCGAAGAGCAATGAGATCTGTAAGGAGCCAGCACCCAGTGCTCCTGTGCTCTCCTGCCCAGCCTCTCCAGCTCAAGGTCCTTTTGCCTCTCCTGGCTGATGACCAGCTAGGGGTGTCTCCCTCACGCAGGGTACAGCCGGGAAGATACCCTGTTGTCAAAACAAGAACAAAAGTGGGTTAGTGAAAAGAGTTTGCTGCTGTCAAAACCCAGGCTTGGGCTTGGAGGGAGGGACCCCTACTCAGCCCTGGAGGCTCTTAAGCCCCTCCCACTCAGGACAGATGATCAGTATCCCTGGGAGGACCAGACACACCTCTCCCCCTGGGCAGGTGACCCTCCTGGTCACTGAGGCAGAGCTGCCCCTGCCTACAGTTCCAAGTGAGAGTCAGCCGACAGCTGAGTGAGCCGACAGCTCACCCACCGCTCAGATCAAAACCTGCCGATTCTGACATCCGAGATGCCTACTTCTCTCTGCACGCTGAAAATGGGGAAGGCTGGTCTAACCATTGCTACAGCCAAGCCAGCCAGGCCCGCCTGTCTTCAGAGGGGCTGAGCTTCAGGCGTCAGTCTCTGTTGGAGGGTGTTTCGTGCTAGCTTCCTTCCTTTTTCTCTCTTTATATCTCTCCTTCCTTTCTATCTCCCTCCTCCAACTTACTCTTCTGCAGACCCCTTGGACCAGCCTTCAGCTGGGATCATTGTCCAAGAAGATGCTAAAACGATGGCACATCAGAGCCGACAGACTTCTTAGGGGTCTGCTGGGCCAGCCCTTCATTGAGATGAGGGTGCGGAGGCCTAGCGGGGGCCTGGTGACTAGCCCAAAGCCACAGGGCAGAGACAGAGTCCCCTGAGACTCAGTGCAGTGCCCCCTTCTCCAGCCAGGGCCCCTCCCCCATCAGCCTGGAGAAGGGAGTCTTCTCTTCCCCTCAGCACTTCTTCAGTTGATATTGTCATAGCAGTGCACACATGTAGTCTGTGTCTGATGGCACCTACATTATTAGAATGAACTTTGCCCTGTTATAATAGTCACAAGGCATTTATTTGCCAGGGCAGGAGGTCTAAATAGCTAAGGTTTTATGTCTGGCCACAAGACAGAGAACCCCTGCCTTACATTATGTAAGCTTCACTGTTAACCAACACCCTGCTCCACAGCGGTTCCCGCCCTGAGGCCAAGTGCCTTTCATGCTGAAACGAGTCAGTTCCAATAATTTCTGACATCCCCGGGTTTGAAAATTAGAAAACAGAAGCCCAGCCTGGAAGTGAAGGGATTCTGAGTCATGAGCATTAGGAGCTAAATACAACCTGGCAGTCACCTTGTTTCACAGAGGAGGAGACCAAGGCCAAGTGCTGCCCCTACCCCTGCTCCTGCTTCTTCACCCAGATCTCTGAGGCATCTTAGGACAGAGGAAGCTGGGAACTCTCCGGTGAAGAAACTGGGGTGAGAGAGAAGCACCTCGCCCCAGGTCTGGCTGCCAGTGAGCACGGGGCCCGGGGGAGCCTCCCCCCGACCCGGGGCTGCCTTCCTCAGCCCGCCCCCGGGCTTGGGCTGGAGGACGCCTTTCCATAAATATACTACTTATGTGGAAAAACCTAGGAGAGGGAAGAAAAGAGTTCCCATGATCCAGCTTTTGGAGAGTTTTTTTTGAGGGGATGAGTTTCTCAAATATCACTGTTTATTTTCTGAGCATGCTGGCTCTCAAGATTAATCTTCAAAGAAGAAAACTGGAACATGATCCTAGGCCTCAAGGGATTTATTTTTTAACAGTAACAAAACAATTACAATAGAAATCTGAAGTTTAAGGCCCACGACCCCTTCATGGCTTTTTTTCAAGCCTTTGCAACACATTGAAAAGCTTAGGCTATCTAATCACAATTTCTCCTCAGTGTATCAGGTGTAGAAAAAGGGCCAGTGTGCACTCTAACAGCTGTTGTGAGGTTTATTTGCTCATTGGAGATGCAGCTGACTTTCTAAGCTTCAGTTCTGGGGACTCAGCGTGACACACATCCTCTCAGAGGCCAAGCATTCTGACTTACAGGCACCGAGATCATGAAAATTGGCAGCCCCTGTTCCAGGAACCTGTCAAGGCAGAAGGCCTGCCAGCAAGTGCGAAATAGCAGATCGCACCCTGCTTGTGTCTGGCCAGAGGAAAGTCAACACCTGCTTTCGTCGACTAGTGATGGGCAAGGTGGTGCCCACTCCAGGAACTGTTAGCACATCCACTGGACACTTGAACCCCCTCCCCGAGTGAGTGATCATATGCTCTTTGTCCCTAGGATTCACGTCAGGGTGACAAGGACTCCCTGATATTTTTTCAATTCAACATTCTTAAGTCCCCAGTAAGTCAAAGAGATAAAACGGCAACACAGACAGGCTCTTCCTAATCTGATCAGTGGCAGGCTTGAGCCTTTCTGAAAGACGTGGGCCGCCCATGTTGGGTCTGAGTTAGGGCACAGAGCACATTCCTCAGAGCGAGGGAGGGAAGCACTCTGGTGGCATGGTAGATGCCGCAGGTGTTAACCCCCAGGACTGGAGTTGTCACACCAGGGCTGGTGATACGCATTCTTGGTTCTTTTCCTTTGTGAAGGTCATGTTATTTTTTACATTTGGTAAATTCTGAAGCAGTCCTCTTACTGCTTAGTTTAACTTTATTTTTACCTTAGATCATACTGGGGTGAAGCCAGCTATAGACACAGTGCTGGCATTTTTTTTTTAGAAATAGTGGGCTTGCAAATGAGCCCCCAGAAGTTACCTCCCAGACCCAGAGTAGGGGAGGGGACAGGTCACCTGGATCAAGGGCCATCACCCCATTTCCCTAGGCTGGGAGCCAACATTCCATTAACATGGCTTCTAGGGGATTAAAGGTTATCTCTACTTATCACTTATCAAAGGTTATCTCTACTCATCATGTCATATCTGACAGCAACTTAAATATTATTAGCCACACGCATTTTTCAGAATCTCTGCCCATAAGGCCCTTGGCACAGCGGCCCACGTGTGGCAACTGCCCAGGCACCCATGAGGTGCGTCTTCATTTGTGTGGGCCCAGTCACCCCCTGGCTCCCTGGCTGCTGCTCCCGCTTCTCAGTTGAACTTTTTTCTTTGACTGCTGTGGCACAGATGCCATGGAAAGCTGGGAAGAAAGGATGAGACTAAAGGAAGCTGTTGCATTCGGGCTGCTTCATGATTCTTTTGCCCTAAAGAGACACAGAGACGACTAAAGCCTCACAGTCCCTTTTGTCATCAAAGCCCTCATTTTCGCTGTGTTTCTGCTGGTAGTTAAATGTGCCCGCCTCTGTCCCCTGAGCTACACCCAGGCTGACGGAGCACGTGCCTCCCGGGTGCCCCTGAGAAACGCACCCCTCGAAATGCTGTCAGCTGAGCAAACAGAGACCCCAACGTCTCCCAGGGCTGGTGCTGCCCTGACCCCCTTAGCACCTGCACCCTGCTCTGGGCAGGCTGCCACTCAGCCTCCCTGGCATGTCAGGGGCCCACCCTTGGCTCCTCCAGTCACCCCCTGGGCTGGGCTCAGCAGCGGGCAGTCAGCACTCCTCGCACTGTCCCGGCTCATGAGTTCGGAGTGAGGCTGTAGGACGGGGCCTTCCTGCGGTGAGAAGGGGCTGTGCAGCCATGAGGGCCAACACACGTAGTCAAAAAGTTCTCCATTTCAAGAACTCGTACTGCCACCTTCCTGCCGCCCGCCCTGCCGGGCAGCCCGCTTCTTATAATTTGCACCCCATTGCTTTCCTCACCTGCCATTTCACATGCCGCTGCCCTGTGTTGCCTGTGTGTGCCGTGCCAGTGTGTTTTTTGCTCTGTGTACATTTTGGTTTCATTTGGGGTTGCTTTTGACGATTTCCTTTGTTCCGGTGTTCTGTCTCCCTCGCCTGGCTGTGTGGGGCTGCCTGGCCCACTGCTTGCCGCCTCCATAGATCCCCGTTGCGCAGCCTTCTGTCATGGACGACATTGAGGTGTGGCTCAGGATGGACCTGGTGAGACTCGACTTTTATATCTCGTGTGGGGTGTGGAGAAGCAGAGGCTCTTCTGAGGACAGGCCTCAAGGGGACATGCCCCCCATCCAGGGTCGGTGGAGAGGGAGATGCAGGGCAGGCCCAGCATCTGCGGCTGCCAGCTTGCCACAGCCCACTTTCCTCCCAGACACTCAGCCCACGGCTGCGGTGCCAGGGTGACTCCCAGGCCTAGTGGCCAGCCGTGGTGGCGAGGCTCTGCGCGCAGCCTCCCTCACCACACAGCCTGCCGGACACCAGCCCAGGGAGGGTGGAGCTGGCGTGTGACTCTAGCTCCAGCAGCTTCAAAACAGACATTTGCCTTCCCCGCAGTTTCTTTTCCATTTCAGGGGTGTGTGTGTGCCGTTTTTGGGGGAGGTGTTTTTTTTTGTTTTTTGGGTTTTTTTGGTTTTCATTTCTTTTTTTTTTTTTTATGTGAAATATACACACAGTGGTTTTGTTTTTAATTCACGGTCATTCCCCCTACCTGATTTTTGATTCAAAACAACCCCTGGCTGGGTCCGGTAGCTAATGCCTGTAATCCCAGCACTTTGGAAGGCCGAAGCGGGAGGATTGCTTGCGGCCAGAAGTTTGAGACCAGCCTGGGCAACTGCAAGAGCTGGTCTCTGGAAAAAATTAAAAATTAGCTAGGGTGCATACTTGTAGTTCCAGCTACTTGGGAGGCTGAGTCAGGAGGATCACTTGAGCCCAGGAGTTTGAGGTTGCAGTGAGCTATGGTGACGCCACTGCACTCCAGCCTGGTGACAGAGTGAGACCCCGTTTCAAAACAAAAAAGGAACCCCTGCCTGAAAGACCACTGTAGACCACTATCTCCATCCTGAGAGATGGGGCAAGAAGATGAGGATATTATGCATCTGAAACCGGCAACAGGTCCTGAGAAAGGAGAGCTGGTCCCTCCCTGTGTTTCTTTTCTTTTCTTTTCTTTTCTTTTTTAGTTTGAGACAGAGTTTTGCTCTGTTGCCTGGGCTAGAGTGCCGTGGCGTCAGCCTAGCTCACAGCAACCTCAAACTCCTGGGCTCAAGTGATCCTCCTGCCTCAGCCTCCCACCTAGCTGGGACTACAGGTGCCCGCCATCACATCTGGCTAATTTTTTTCTATTTTTAGTAGAGACGGGGTCTCGCTCTTACTCAGGCTGGTCTCGAACTCCCCAGCTCAAGCGATCCTCCTGCCTCGGCCTCCCAGAGTGCTAGGATTACAGGCGTGAGCCACCTCACCAGCCTCCTCCCTGTGTTTCTTACAAAGCACTTTCACTCAGCAGCCTGGTGGGGGGACAGAATGGGGGTTATTGGCCAGTGGCTGATGAAGGAGTGCATCTGGGAGGGGAAGTGGCTTGCCCAGGGTCATGGGCTAGTTGGATCCTCCCCCAGACCTGGCGACACTTCATCTCTTGCTCCTAGCTGCCTCCTCTTCAGGGGGCCCTGTCCCCAGAGCAGAGTAGCCTCTTGAGTTCTTTAACCACAGGGTCAGCCTGGCTGTCTGTGGGATGGTGACTTGGCCACTTCCCACACTAGGACAGCAGGCCTCAGGTGAGGGCCTCTCACTGCTCTGGGCCTCCTCCCTGGAAGGTCAGGCTTTCTAAGGACACTCATTGCCAAATGAGGCAGCCACTCAGGTGTCAGGAGAGGAAGGAAACATCGCATGATATCTTTACCAAGGAGGGGGCCTCGAAAAGAAATAGTTTCTGTCATAGAAGCCAAGCAAGAAGGGCCAGGGTCCTCACCTTCTAAGGGGGTACCCCAGGATCCAGACAGGGAAGGGACTTGTCTAGCAAGGCTACACAGCAGGTCAGTGGCAGAGCCAGGAAAGAACCCAGGTCTCCTAGACCAGCCTGGGGCCTTGTCACTTCCCCATCCTTCCCAGTGAGGCCCCTGCACACGCCACTTTTCCCAGTCCCTGGGCAGCTCTATGAGCTCAAGAAACTACTGCATTCTCCAAACAAAATCAAGTCTGATCCACTTTATAAGAATGCACAGAGCCTTGGTAGCCCCTTCCGGAGCCGGCAGCAGGTGATAGGATCTGGGCCTCAGGAGGAGGCTGGTGCAGCTCCCGGGAGGCCGCAGGACACGGCTTCTGGAGGGATAGCCTTTCTGCCAAAGCACCTACTGGGTGCCAGGCTCTGTGCCGTGGGCTTCGTGGCCCTGGTCTATCCAGGCCTCCTGCTATTTCCAGCTGTTGGTTGGACAGTGTCTTCCTGGAACCCCTGTGGCTGGCCGCAAGTGAGCATTGTGCAGTGAAGCACAGGCAGGGACCCTGGGAGTGCCTCAGGCTGAGCCTTCCAGTGGCCGTCCCTCTGCGCCTCTCCCCAGAGCCCCGAGAGTGCTGGGGCGGGGGTCCTGCCCTCTGCAGCCCAGGCCGGAGAACCAGCCTGCACTGTTTTTAGACTTTTTCTTTCTGGCCCTTCTGGAGGAGCAAAATCTAGAACCTATTTGGGTTTTTTTGTTTGTTTGTTTTTGCTTTTGTTTTTTAAAAACAAAGTATCTGTTTCTCCAATAAGAAGAGCAGTGCTTGCTATTACAAAGATCTGGAAACAGAAAGAAATAGGAAATTTTGCTCCGGCTGCCATGGGCAGTGCCACCCTGGGGTGGCCAAGGGTGGGCAGAGTTGGATGGGCAGGTGGGGCCGGGACCAGTGCCCTAATGCCGCTCTCTCTGCTCCTCCTACAGAAGGGCGACGACCTGGAGGAGGGCGTCACGAGTGAAGGTATGGCCTGGCTGATGGCCTTATGACGCTCCCTTTGCTGCTCCCACCCAAGGCTGTGCAGGGACCAGCCTGGATCACCATGAAGCCCCTGCTGCCAAAGCACCCACTGTGCCAGGCCCTGAGCCACAGGCTTCAAGGGTGGCTCGGTGCCGCCCAGGCCTCGTGCTGATGTGGGGTGTCATTTCTCTCATCTTGCTTGTTGGGAAACGGAGGTTAGAACAGGTGACTTTCAGCCCGGGCGCCCTCGAAAAGTTCCTCAGAAACTGGGTTCCCCAGCGGCCGCTCCGCAGGGCGGGCGAGGCGGGGGCGGGGCCCTGGGGAGGCCCCGCCCCCGCCTGGAGAGACCGGGACCCGGGCTCCCGGGTGTGCGCCTACGTCAGAGTGCCCTCCAGTCATTCACTTCATAAGGCCTCGCGCACAGCAGCCACAGAAGGTCACAGAGCTAGTGAACAGTGGGTGCAGATTGCCATCTGGGTCCCGACCCCCGGACGCTCAGTCCAGCTCAGACGCGTGTGGCACAGTTCACAGGGTGTACAGGGCGCCGAGGGCGGCTGAGCCCGAGGGAGGGGCCTCCCCGGGCCTCAGCTGATGGGTCTGGTGGGAGCAGTGGGGGCTTAGTTGACCCACACTGACCCCCACGTCCCACCTCCCCCGCTCCTCACGTTTGCCTTCCCGGCTGCCCCTCTGCCGTCACAGTCTGCCAGACCCGCAGTGGCCAGCTGCTCCGCAGGCCGGGGAACCGCCAGAGGCCCAGGCGCTCTAGTTCTGGCGCCCGCGTGGGCGTGGAGCTGCGCCCTCAGCCACCTCCTTCCTCAGCGTCTCTGCAGTCTCTCCCTTTGGCGGGAGAGGGTAGGGTAGGTGGGATGGGCCCTGCCAGGTTAATTAGGAACTCGCCCCTCCTGGAAAATGCACAAACCTCCAGGTGGGCGGTGCAGTAGGTGCAGCAGGTGCTCTGCGCTCTGTTTTCCAGAGCCTTTCCCTGCAGGGCCTGTGGCTGGGCACAGCTGGAACCCTCTCCCCACACTGCCCTCCCACCAGCCCTGGAGGTAGCAGAGGAGGAAACAGGCTGGTCTATAGGCAGCACCCCTGGCTCTGGCTGGCTGCTGGCCCTGCCACCCCTGCCTCCCCCCTGGTGGGTGGTACAGGTTGGAGCTGGGAGGGGTGGGGGCTCGTGCTAGGACGACCCCACCAACCCTGGCCCTTGCCTTGGTTTGTGTTGCAGAGTTTGATAAATTCCTTGAAGAAAGAGCCAAAGCTGCGGAAATGGTTCCTGACCTCCCCTCACCCCCGGCGGAGGCCCCCGCTCCAGCCTCAAACCCTCCTGGCCAGAAGAAGCCAGAGCGGTCAGAGGATGCCCTCTTCGCCCTGTGAGTGGCTCTGTGGTTTGCCTCCCCAGATGGCAGGTCACCGCCCGCTCGCTGTGGACACCAGGCGCTGGCAACTCCTCCCATCCCCATCCCCCCTGCGCCTGCACACCTGTGTCTCCCTGGAAATGCCACCGTGTCTGCTCCCAGGCCTCCCACTAGTCAGGATCAGCTTCGGCCACCTTTTTCCCTCTGGTGGTGGGACAGCTGCAGCCAGAGGCCCCTCCATCCCCTCCTCTCCCCTCACGGCCCCTTCTGCCCAGGTTTCCTCCCAGGAAGAGTGGGCAGAGTGGCCCAGCCCCAGGCAGGGCAGCCCCTTAGCACTGTTTCCTGAGTGGACCTGGACGGTCTTTCTTCCAGTCATCCACCCACCCAGAGAGAAGGGGCGACCCGGGCCCCTCCGTGTGCCCCACCTCCACCTGGTACGGCTGCCCTCCCATGCTCCTCTCTTCCAGGAGGGGCTTTGTGCTGCTGCCTCTGGAAGAACAGGGCACAGTTGCACTCACAGGCCTGGTCTCCTTCTTGGACTGTGTCACCTTGTGGCACATGGTGTGGCTGTACTTTAGAAGTCTCTGTGGGTGCCCACAGGGGGTTCTTTTACCTTCTCTACCCTCTCCATCACTCAGCTGCTAGCCCGGGCCCATGCATGGGCTGGCTCAGCAGCGACATCTGGGACCGAGGGCCCTGCAGGCTCCTGGTGTGGGGAGAGGGCCACAGGTGGGTTGGGAGGGCAGCAGGTATGCCACTGAGATAACACTACTGTCCACCAGCCTGCCCCAGGCACACCCTGCACATTCGCGCCACACACCTGGCCCTGGTTTGTAGAGAGGCTTGCACAGGGAGGCATTGCTCTGGCTTGTCTGGGAAAGTGTCGTGGGTGAGTGAGCTGCACACTCAGGGCTTTGGCCTGGCCTGTGGTAGCCTCACACCGCTACCTCCAGGCCCCAGCAGCAGACAGCTTTGCACCGTGCTTGGAGGTTCCAAATGACTGAGTGGCCACAGTGACACTAAGACCCCTGCACTGCTTCTTGCTATGGGCCTTCTCCTCCTCCCATAGACTGTCCTGACAGCCTGACCTCCTCCCAACTCAGATGTCCCCTGGCTACCAATTTGCACCCTCTCCCCAAGCCCACCGTGAAGGCTGACAGAGCCTGGGGCCGAGCAGATGGAGGCTGGTGACACCTGTTCCCATCCTGTGTCCTTGTTGGTATGATCAGCCCATCCCACCTGGCAAGATGGCCTAGATGCTGCAGTGGTCACTGCCAGAGCACCAGCCCAAGCAGGGAAAAGGGGCTGGGCGTCACCTGAGCAGAGACCAGCGACGTGGTCTCTGGGGAGCATTTAGGATAGAGGCTGCAGCCAGTGGCCGTGCTGAGCACCGAGAGTTCCAATAGGGAGTGTGGCGCTGCCCCACCCAGAAGCCCATGCCCAGTCTAGCACCCCTCCAGTTTCCTCCAAGAGGAGGCCTGCAGTCTGGCTGGGGGCCCATCTGGCAGGACCAACTGGGGATGTCACACTCCAGTTCCTCAGAGGGCGTCCAGGAAGCTCCTCCCCAGAGCCTGGCCAGCCTAATTCCAGCCCTGCCCTGTCTAGCAGCACGTGCCACACCTGCCACCTCGGCTCTCCGACTCTCAGCCTGTGCCTCTCTCATCAGCGTTTCTCAAAGGGAGAGCCCTCCGAGGCCACCTTGGATGTTGAGACTTCTGAAGACAGCTGGCTTGACTCGAGCTGCAGAGAAGGTGGCTAGGATGGCCTAGGTGTACCCAGAGACCCCAGCCCTTCATCACAGTCTCTGTGAGGGCCAGGGCCAAGCCTGTGGCTGTGGGCAGCGGGACCCTGGGCGGTCAGACTGCAGCAGCCCCGGGACGACAGCCCCAGGCCCAGTGCCCTGTTAGGGCAGAGCGCACCACCTGCCTGCGCAAAGGGAGGTCCTCAGGCCAGGAGTCTGCGGGCTCTGCGGGCGAGAGGGGCTCCTGCAGGGCATGAAGCTGAGGGAGGTGCCCGCCTGGGAGCCCCAGCACAGCCGTTCCTAATACACATCCCAGAGCTGTCCCCACCCCCGCCCCGACTCCTGCTGGTGGGCCAGGCACAGCTTGGAGAGGCCTGGCTGCCCCATGGGCAGCAGGTGGTGGTGGAGTCATGTGGGCTGGCAGGAGGCCACTGGCCATGCAGACATGTGTCTCCTGCCTTCCCGGCCTGGAGCCACCCTTCTGGTGGCTTTCGAGCACCTGCTGCCACCTCCTGTCCAGACAGCCCACCGCGACCCATAGGCTGAGGGGACGCGCTCTTGAGGAAGCAAGTACCACCCAGGTGCCCTGGAGGGAGTCCGCTCAGCCCTGGTGGGATGCCCTGCCCTGAGGCCTCTGACCCCCACCGTCTAGGAGCACAGTCCTTAGGCCACCTGGTTAGGGAAGAGAGCAGAACCCTGGCAGGAAAGCTGGACCTTCGCAGGCCAGCAGCCTCCCACAAGTGTTAGAAATCACAGATACAGTATGTACTTAATTACACTAAATTATTGCTGAGATTCCTCATAAGCACTAATTATACCTGATTATAGGTTAAAATATTTATTTTGTCAAAATATTTTCTTGGGAATGTGTTTAACCTTTTCTGTGTTCATTGTGTGCTGAGAGGTGGAAACTAACCATTGTCTCCTGCCTACCTTTTTGGCCAGTGGGCAGCAGTGAATGGCACCATGTGCAGTTTGACCCCAGGCATGGTGGTCCCTGCCCAGGCGCCCCCAGACAACTGAGCAGGTGCACTGCGGCCAGGCTGAAAGAATGACCAGCTCGATTATCAGTGTGCACAGGACAAGGGGTTTGGAAGCCAAAAGGGGTTGTTGCTGGCCTGGGCCAGAGGGAAAGGTGACCATCTGTCTGTCCTCCTGTCTTTCTGTCTGTCAGCCCCTTTGTGAGTGACCGTGCCTTGGCTCACTGCCCTTCCCTCCTCACCCAGTGGTCTCAGGGCCTGTGCTATCACTCCAGCTGCTCAGGAGAAGAGAACCTGGCACCCTGGCAGTAATCCTCAAGGCCCCAGCCAGGAGAGTGGTGGTGAGGGCTCTGAGGACCCAGTGGCAGCAGGTGCTGGCAGGGCAGACTGCTGCCGGGCACCACACCCCTACCCTTGGCCCCCACACATACACCTCTCAGTTGGGCCCAGCCTTCTGGATGGTTCAGTGGGGCCAGGCCAGCCCCTGGACACCTTGGAGGAGCACTCGCTGGCACCTGGCCTCAGCCCCTGGCGCTACCAGGTGGCCCGTGGGAGCCTCGCCACAGTCTGCTGTTGGGACATCTGGGTAGGGTTACAGCCAGTCTTCCCCAGCCACAGAGAAGTGTGTTTCCAGCTCAAAGACACTCCCTGTAGGCCCTGCGGTGCCCTCGTCCCCCGGCACCCGTCTCCAGCCCTTCCTGTCCGTGGGTCCAAACCTCCCCTGTAGCAGCGGCCCCCAGCAGCAGTCATCAACCCCTAAGTCAGAACTGCTGCTCTCTGCACAAACCTCCAGGCTCCCCTGGAGAGGGGAGTGGGCATTTATTTCCTAAGGTTTGCACTTAATTTGTGAGGGTTCTCAGGATTGTTGGGGGCTGCTGAAAAGAAGAATGTGTTGAGTTCATTGTCCACTTGTCCCAGAAGTCTGGTGTTCTTGTCACTGTCGTGTGTTCCTATAGGCAGAGCTGGCTCTGGAGGGCGGGTCGGTGTACATGAGGCTCAGAGCATCCATCCACCCCACTGGCCCTCCTTCCAGATGCCATCGCTCTAGTTTGGGTTCTTGCATGTAAAATACTCCACAATAAACAAATAATTGAACAAACTGCTCCTGTGTGATCTTTGTCGAGTCACTCATGACAGTTTGAAGGGTCTGCCAGGTCTAACCACCTGCCCTTAGGCAGGGGCTGCCATGGGGACCCTCACTTCCCCTTCTCCACCACCCGAGATGTCTCAACAGCCCCTTGCCTGGCCAGGAAAACCCCTGGCACGGCCCAAGTTCGGGCATCAGTGGTGACAGCTGTAAGCCTGCCACACCTGCCTGAGAGCTCTAGGACCAGACCTCTTCCTGCGTCTCGTCCCAGGGCCCAGGCAGGAAGGGGGAGGCCACTCACCCTTGCCCCGAGCACCCAAGGCTTTGAGCGAGCAGACCTGAGCCACCCTGACCACCCTCAGCCCCGCTCCCAGCCCCCACCCCCTGCTGGGCTCCCACAGCCTGGCCGGGCAGAAGCATCTGCAGAGTCCGTCCTAGGCACTGAACTTGAGAACGGCTGCTCCAAGCCAGGTAGACTCTGCCCCTGCTTTCTTTGGTAACAGGTTTATTGAGATATAATTTGCATAGCATACAATTTGCCCATTTAAAATGTATAATGAAGTAGTTTTTAGTATGTTCACAGAGTTGGGCAACCATCACCACAGTCAATTTTATTAATAGAACATTTTCATCCCCCAAAAAGAGACCCATCTCCTCCTATCCCCCCCAGCCCACTCTCCCTTTTTAAAAGGCTTCTCTCCCCTCTCCTCCTGTGCTAGGTGGGCGCCTGCAGCTCTTGCTACGAGGCAGCTGTCCTGGGGAAGCAGGGCCCTAGCAGGCCCAGAGGCGTAGGGGTCCTGAGGGGTGGATTGTGGGAGCCTGCAATACCTGTGCTTTCTCCAGGTGGCTTGAGGGGGCCTGAGAGTCCTTTAGTCCCTTTGCCTCCTGGGGCTTGAGGGTGGTCCTCAAGTGGGGTAGACTCATCATAACCCAGTGAACTTGGACTAAGCATCAAGACATCTGCCCAGCCTCTCGCCATGCAGGTGAAGACACTGAGGACTGTAGCTTGCCTAAGGCTGCACAGGGAGCAGCAGCAGAGCCAGCAGCACTGGAACCCAGAGCTGGGCCTCCCAGACCAGGGCCATGGGTGAACAGGCAGGAAGGACGCCCCCCACCCTGAACACCAGCCCTTCTGGGAGGGTGGCTCAGGATGGGGCTCCCCTGCCTGCTGATAAGAGGCAGGTAGGTCCATGGCGGGGCCACGTTGGGACCACCACCATCACCAGTGCAAGCCAGAAGTGGCAGCACTCAGATCCCTTGGGCCAGTTGCCTCCCTGGGCTCCAGGGAGCTCTGCAGAGGTCTTGCCTGTTTCTGGCCAGAGTGACATAGAGGCCCCCACACCAGGGGGAGTAGGGGAGTGGGCTTCTGAAGTGGGGGAGGCCTGCAACCCCAGGTCCCTTTGAACAGACAGTATGGACCTTGAGCTCATTCTGTGCCCCAGCCCTGTGCCAGGCACTGTGGGCACTGAAAGAGGCCTGAGCTGTGTCCCTGCCCTGTGGAGAGTAGGCTGGTGCCAGACACCACCATGGACTCTCCAGGACACCTGGTCCGCTTGTGCTTTTAGCCAATGTTCCCGAAAGCCTGCTGTGTGTCAGGTGGGTGCTGGAGGGAAGGGGTAGGGCTGCTCTGGTCCTGCTCTTGGGGAGCTCGGAGCCTGGTGCTATTTCCAGAATCAAGGACACTCTGCAGCCAGTAAGTGCTGGAATTCTCTGCCAGGGCCTGCAGTGAGGGAGGCTCTGAGCTAGTAGCCAAGCCCCAGAGCACTCAACCTGGG